TCTGTCTTGACCATAGTGGTAGTTAAGCTCCTCAAATTGCATACTTTAAAATGGGCAGATTTGGGGCAGCTGGGCAGCCAGGTTGGTGAAGCGTCCGACTTCGGCTCAGGTCATGATCTCGCGGTTTGTGGGTTCAAGCCCCGCGTCGGACTCCATGCTGACAGCTCGGAGCCTGGTGCCTGCTTCGGATTCTGTGTCTCCCTCTCTCTCTGTTCCTCCTCAGCTAGTGCTGTCTCTTAAAAATGAATAAACGTTAAAATATTTTTTTCAATGGGCAGATTTACTTGTGTGTAAAGAATGCCTCAAGAAAGAGAGGGAGAAAGAAGAAGGACATTTTAACATCCAAAAACTGAGAACTTCATGACCGTAGGATAAAGGAGGTCAGTCCTTTACACTGAACACCTTTGGCTCCGTGACAAAACTTACAACAGTGCCCTTCTTTTTCTCATTTTTCTGCCAAGCAGAGAAAAATTCATCACAGACCAGAGGCTGGCAATGACTACCAGAGACTACATTTCCCAAAACATGAGGTCTCGTATCCAGCCTGCCCCCTGCCCTCCCCTCCCCCCCAGTGTTTTCCACCGGCGAGGCGTTGGCAGGTCAGCAGCCAAAACCTGCCAGTCTGTACCCTCCCAGCAGCCTGGTGCTAAGACAGCGGGTATCCCAGGAGCACCCACAGCCGCACGGGGGCCCTGGATGCTGCAGCCGCCACTCAGGGCAGCCCCTCTGATGTGGCACCCTGGTCATTTGTCTTCCTCTTATTTGTGTGTTTTTAAGGGGAACGTCAGAGAATCTTTTAAGTTTATAATAATGTTATATTTTAATCTTCCTGCTATGGGAGAATTAAATGACTATTGGAGAAAAATGTTTAAAAACAGGTAAAACCTAAAATACCCACCACACAGAGACCCCTGTTAGCTCCTTACACATATCCTTGAAGATTCTGCATAGAAAACGTGCATATATGTGTATACACATATAGGTACAAGGTTGCATAGGTGCGTAAGTGTGTATTTGCAAGGTGTAATCATGCATATGACACGTGCCATCCCGTGATCTTCTTTGTGCACTCGTTAGCTCTCCCTTCTTATCCCAGATACTTCTGTCTTACCTGTCACCTAGACCATATCCAGATTTTCCCAGTTGACCCAAAATGTCCTGTAGATCTGGTTTTTGCAACTGGAGAGACAGTCTGGGGCCACACGTTGCATCTGGATGTTGGGTCCCTTAAGACTTTTGATATAGTACGTCCCTTTTCTGTGACATTGACTCATGAAAGCCATCAGCCACTTTTCCATCCATCTGGTCACTGTCGTGTGGTGCCATCTAGCTCATTCCTCTCTTCCTTGTCTTCCCATAAACTAGAAGTGATGTCTGAAGGCTTAATGGATTCCATTTAACCAAAGGTGACATGTCATGTCTGATTGGCATCATTGCCGATTCTAAGATTGACCATGGACCATGCCTGGTGCCCCCCTCCTGCTGTCAGGCTTGCACCTTGTGATAAGCCCAGGCCAAATGCCATCACTTTGCTGCTATAGGGGCAGCCATTTCCCCATCAACTCTTCACCTGAGGCTTTTGACCCCAATTAATAATTGTCTGAGTCAATCATTTTATCAGTATTTGATAGTAACTTTTACTGTCATTCAGCCTTGGTAAGGCCAACAGATCAGAGACAACAGCCACTGAAAAGATAATCTGTTGCAGTTCCCAAAAGGAGGGGACAGCCCATGCCACACGGGGCCACATATGGGGAAGCACCAGTTTCCGTCAGGAGGCAGAGGGATGGAGGAGAAGACATGAGCAAGAGTCGTTTTGGGTTTCCCCAGGAAAGAGCTGGTGAGGCGGGATATGTGGGTTGAAGATTGGGAGGGTTTGAGTAACTTCTAGCTCGGTGGTGACAGGCTGTCTCCAGTTGTCTGAATCCTGGTCTGGGGATGATTAGGGCAGTGGCTCAGTGTGAGAGCCTGATGGAGCAGAAAGGAGGACACCAAGGTGTGTGGGCTCTGAACTGGTTAGTTTGCGTATGAAAGGCTTTCTCTAGGAAAAGGCTAGCTGTCTCCAGGGTCAGTGGAGCCCCCAGATGTCAAGGCATCAGAAATACAGAAAATCCGGGGCGCCCAGCTGGCTCAGTCAGAAGAACTGGTGACTCTTGATTTTGGGGTTGTGAGTTTGAGCTCCACAATGACTGTAGAGATTATGTACATACACATATAATAAACTTTTAAAAAAAAATACAGAAAATCAAAAGGCATGGCTAATCAGAATTTGTCAAATAATGTTTTTCTAATTCTATCGTCCCTTTTGCCAGCTACTGCTGGCATTCCTCTGGTTAAAAAAAACACACACAAAAAACTTTCTTTGAAATTAAAAAAGGTTTCTGAATTTTAGCTCTTGCCAGCTATTACACTGTTGCAATCAGAGACTTACTGATGTGCTTCAGGTCTAGTGAGATCTCTCTTCTAAATGCTGGAGATGGGATAAGTAGTCGGAAGTCTGTACCCCCCTGGAGCGTACATTCCGGGAACGATGGGGCCGGGGACAGACAGGAAACAACAGCTTCTCCTGTATTTGAGTGACAAGAAAAATAATGCAGGGAAGGCTTCGAGTTCTGGGCGGGCTGGTACACTATTGACTGTGGGGTGAATGGGGTGAGGAATAAGCCCATGGACCCAATCAAAGGAGAGACGTGGAAACTCAGTGCACAGTGAAGCGAGGCTTTAATCAATGTTCTTGCAAGAGTGGGTATCTGAGGGGCAGGCACACTTGGGGAAGTTACAGGAGATAATTTATCTCCCAGCATCTAAGTCCCTCCCCTGGTTCCTCATTGGCTGAGGACTACAGAGGTTAGCCTTACTCGGAAGTCGTGTATGCCCATGGAAAGCAAAAAGTAGCCTAACTGGAACAAATGTTCATTCCCTCCTCCCTTTGTTCTTTGGCACATGCTCATTGCAAAGCCCCCAGAAATAAGTTCTCCAGAGGGAGAGGGAAAGAAGAACTAGGAAGTGAAGTGTCTAAGGGTTTGGGACTCCCCTGGGGGGGTGGGGGAGGGGAGGAGGTTGTACATATTTCCAATAGGTTATAACCTACTGTTAACTAGACAGTGTTGCTTTCATTTAGTACTTCTGAAAATGAGTCATCTCCCTTACTTCTCATAAGAGGTAATGGGAGCAAATCTGGGAGGGTCATTGTTCAGGCAGAGGGGGAGCCCCTGGAATGTTTTCCATAGATGGTAACACCCCAAAGTGTCAGAACATGCTTTCTGTGTAGAACTTGGCTTCATTCCTGGACACAAGGTCAAGTCCAATACGTAAATGTGTCGGCGGCCACAATGTCCCATCTGTTCATCCCCCGAGCGTTCTTGCGAGCAGCTATTGTTCTAGGCACTGGGAAAGCAGAGGTGAGGGAGACAACGGGATGGGCGCCTGCCCCCACTGAGCCAAGAGTCAGGCGAGGTAAGAAAGACCATAAAATAACCTCCACACAAGTGTCCAATGCAGCTGTGCTTCCGACCCAGCCCCGGAAGTTGGGGAAGGCTCCCTGGAGGATGGGACTCCTCTCTTCCAGCATGAAGCGTGAAATGAGTCAGCAGGCTGATGACAGAAGAAGAGGATTGTTCCAGGCAAAAAAGAACAGTGGGGGTGGGAGGAGGTGGGGGAAATGCAGTGCAGGACAATGTGGAAAGCAGGTAGAGATTTCAAGATGGTGCCCGTGTCCTGACAGCAGTGGGAGATCTGAATGGAGGGGACAAGTCAGGGCTTAGAAGGCCCCTCTTCCACTGCAGACAAAGACCTGGAGGCTGGATATGGAGGTAGTCAGATGGCAGGAGACATTATGGTCCAAGGAAGCAGAGCGGGTGGTGTGGACTCAGAAGGAGGCTCTGGGGATGAGAAGATTGGACAGATTCCAAGGACAAGGAGGGAGGTGGGGTGCAGGGCGGGGGGGGGAGGTACAGACAAGACTTGGGGACGATAATCAGGGCAAGGGGTGGAGGAGAGGCAGCCATCTGGTCTGGCTTGAATAACACCAGGGTTCATCTTGAACTTGACATTTCTCCTTGACCTTTTTGTTTCTGTCCCCACCCCCAAGGTTGCATTAGCCGCTTGCTGAGTTTAATCAAGTTTGTTGAGCACTTGTAAATCTCCTGTCCATGTGATACTGGGGGTGAAGGGCTAATCAGTCTATTTCCAGAACCCAAAGAGGGTTAGGCTAAAAAGTAGCTTTTCCTGAGCCACCCTCCCCCGCACCACGCCTTCCCCACTGGTGCTCCTGCATCCGAGAGCCCCTCTGGAAAGAGACTGAAGCCTTTGCCTAATGCTTAGAACTGCTGAAACAACCAATTCGCCCTCTCAACCCTAATCCCATCTCCATCCTTCTCCTTAAATGGGATTTGGCTTCTAGACACTGAGACCTAGGTGTGGGCACCCTCCCCAAGTTCCCTACAAATTCCCCAGCACGTCAGCCAAGGGCCTCGGTGGGGTCACCTGGTTACGCAGAGCCAGGACTGACTGCTCACCCCGGAGGGACAGAGCCCTTCTCCTTGCTTCCCGGGCCCATCCTGCTGCACAAGGTACATGACCATCCCCCAGTACCAGGCTTCTCAGAAACTTGGGCAAGCACAGGGCAGAGCAAGGGTCAGGACAACAGGCATTTTTCATGTGGTCAGTCTGTCCCAGGCTCATCTTCTCCGTGTGGTTTCAGGGACTTTGCTCACTAAGGAGGCTCAGTGCACTGAGGTAGGGCAGCTAAGATGGCTTTTCCGCTGCGCATAAAGCTGGGGAGCAGTAAGAGAACAGGATGGGAAAACAGCTAACTATGAACTGCTGGGCAGAACTTCTGGGGACTTCACATATTTTGAAAATACTATTTGTGAAGTGGTTATGTAGTGGTTTTCAGGAACTTTCTCTATTCTAATTGCCATAAAACATCGTGATGATAGAATTTTAAATCCAGTCTGGCTAAGTGTGACGATACCAAAGGCTAGTCAGGAAGTAAAACCTTCTCATTGGAATCTAGCTGGACTTCTAGGTGAGGTTTACTGAGAAACGTTTGAGGCTTATCGAGAAAAACAAAACACATGTTTTTTAAAAAGCACACCGCAGTGTAATACAAGCTAGACAAAGACCTTACTTAATCAAACATCGGTATTCAAGCAGATAACAAAGAAATGTCTAATGGGTCCACAGCATCTCACAAGTTGGTTTTATACCCAGAATGTTCTTGACTGTATATTGAGGATTGTTTTACCTTTCCCCAGCCCCCTAAAGCCTGACTTCCATCCCACGGTGGAAGGAGCTTCCAGGGACAGACAACATGGCAGCCAGCGGGAAGACCGGCAAGGCTGCACCAAACCATGTGATCTTCAAGAAGATCTCCCGGGACAAATCGGTAAGTGGTACAGAAGCAAGTGGTTTGATGCAATTTTTTAAGGAGTTTTTTCAAGAATAGACATGGGCATGGGGATACCTGGATGGCTTAGTCAGTAGAGCATGCACCTCTTGAACTTGTGGTTGTGAGTTCGAGCTTCACGTTGGGTGTAGAGATTACTTAAAAAAAAAAAAAAAAAAAAAAGAAAGAAAGAAAGCAAAGCAAAAAAGAATAGACACAACATCAAAACCCTGTGAGGTTGAGGAAGCTCTGTGTCTATTTCCCATCTCTATCTGAGATGGGTGATCAATGAGATATGAACAAATGAGTGAATTGCACAAACATAACTTCTTTTCAGTCTCATCAAGAATTTAAGTCCTGAGACCTGCAATTTTTTTTTTTCATCTCTCAGTCCCCATCCACTTGCCCCCAATTTTACGTGGCTGGCCTTGAACCCATGACTTACATGTTTTCAAACACTATTTTGTCAATACTAATTCACCTGGCCCTTTGTCATGTCACTGCCTGCCTGGGGAAAGCCCTGGAGTTGGATCAAGGCAGCTCTATCTTCCGTCCCTACCCCAGCTGCTATACTCTTAGTCCTCACTTGGCCTCAGGGCCACTGGGTAAGGGAATGAGCCCCCACTGCTCTGTACTGTGGCTACATGGCCACCAATATCCTGGCAATCTGTGTACTCGGCAGAGATGAAGGCACTGTTGGCTCCATCAGGGCCACATGAGATAGAAGGGAAGCCTAATGGAAGGTCCACCCTACAGCCTCCACGGATGGGGTCTCCTTGCTCCACCTGATGGCTTCTCAGGGGCCAAAAATCTAGCTCAGCACTGTCCAGTTCAAGCTGCAGACATTGTTCTAAAGCTTCTAGCAGCCACATTAAAAAGGAAGAGACAGATAGAATTGATTTTAACATATATTTAATATATCCAAAAAACTATCATTTCAACATGCAAATGATACAAAATTGATCACATCTTATATTCACTTTCTAAGTCATTTTTTTTTAATGTTTATTTTTGAGAGAGAGAGAGAGACAGAGTGCAAGTGGGGGAGGTGAAGAGAGAGAGGGAGACACAGAATCTGAAGCAGGCTCCAGGCCCTGAGCTGTCAGCACAGAGCCCGACGTGGGGCTCGAACCCCATAAACCGTAAGATCATGACCTGAGCCAAAGTCGAGCGCTTAACTGACTGAGCCACCCAGAGCCCCATCACTTTCTAAGTCTTAGAAGCCTGGTACATATTCTACGTTTATAGCACATGTCGGTTGGAATGGCCGTGTTCAAAGGAGCCCCCTGTAACTAGTCGCTACTGCACTGGAAAGTGTGGATCTAGATCATTCTTCTAGTTGACTTCTCAGATGTTCCTACAGAAGTGGTTGAGAGTTTTCCTTTCAAGGCTCTTCATACAGTTGGGTCAGTCTACTCTTTACTCAAGCAGCTTAAACCTGGAGACTGTTTCCAACACCAAGTCTATGTGCAGGACACAGAATTGTCATCATCGGCCCATTTAGACACTTAACCAGCACATGGAGCTCTGAAATCAGGTCATCAAGGGATTTCTCAGAGCTCTATTTTCTGTGCTTTGTAAAACTGAGCTTTAGCTTTTTTCCGTTAGGGTTTATCAAAGTTTAAGCCTGTCCTGGGCCCAAAGGAGACTGTCTGATCCTCACAGGAGAAACGGGTTTGCTCAGGGCACTCTCTGCCCTTTGTGTTCCCGGCTGCGGACCTCGCTGTGGGGTGATAGATAATTTGGGGATTCCTCAACCATTCCTTTCCCAGACTCCTTCCCAGCTCGTGTCTTCCCAGCGCACTTTGCCTTCACTTCTGGCAGAAGAGAGGAACCACTCCCCCTAGGCCGTATCTTTTCCCCACTTTTTAAATTCCTCACACCTAGATAGACATCCTTTGAACCAAGAAACTTAGAGTTTTTGTATGTGTGGCAAAATCCATCAATTAATATCTCACATATTACGATTATTCCAGTTGCAACCTCTGTATAGCTCCAGGCATGGTGCCTCGGGAGCCCTGGGCCCATTTCTCTGTGATCCTCTCCGCTCGGCCCTTTTCTGTGGTCTTCGTCCTCCAGCTAGGGGCAAGATGGCTGCCATAGCTCCAAGAGTCTCATCCTCACTTCCTTCCTGAAAAAGGAAGAGGCTGTTGCTTCCTGGTGTCTCTTCTTAAGAGTGGGAACATATTTTCCCAGTAGCCCTCCAGCAGACTTCTCTCATATCTTATTGGTCAAAACCGGTCACATGCCCACCCTAAACCAATCCCAAGCCAAAGGAATTGGATGGTCATCATTGGATCAGGCCGACCAAGAATTATCCTCTGGAGCTGGCCTCCTCTTAGCCTGGGCCCCCTGGGGGATGGTGAACCCTGAATGCAATTGGCAACCTTTTGTCCAGGAAGAAGGGCACGTGGTCTGTTGGCCAAACAAGCAACATGTCGGCTGCACTTCTGTGTTGTTCAGCCCCCCAACTTCTCCACCTGCCCCTGCCCCTTCTCTGCCCTCCCCTTCCAGATGCCGCAGAACTGGATGCCTTTGCTCCCATCTAAGGTTCATGCTATTTACACCTGTGCCTCATGGCCCACCTCCTCCTTAGAGTCTTACCATCAGCCTCCCTCTCTACCAGTAGTTTGTCTGAACATAAAAATAAGGATGGATTTCATGCATATTTAAAAAACTTTTTTTAATGTTTATTTTGAAGGAGAGAGAGAGACAGACAGAGTGTGGGCAGGGGAGGGGCAGAGAGAGGGAGACTGAATCTGAAGCAGGTTCCAGACTCTGATCTGTCAGCACAGAGCCATACGTGGGGCTCGAACTCACAAACTCTGAGATCATGACCTGAGCCAAAGTCGGATACTTAACCGACCGAGCCACCAGGCGCCCCGGAACTCAAGCGTATTAGAGACAACAACCAAGAAACTCCCCTTAACCTATCACCTTTCCATCTCCGCTTCCTCCACAGCTAAAGCTTGAGAGAGAAGAAAATACACTCTCTCTGCCTACCTTCACCCTTCCCTCCTCCCAACCTCAGTCAGCTGCCCAACTGGCTTTCCCCTTGGTCTATCCATTCTCCACTCTGCTGCCAATGTCGTCTCTTCTATGAAATGGGGCTAATTCCTATCTCATAGGGTAGTTGTGGGAATTCAGTGGAATAATGTAGCCAGTGCTTAGCTTGGCACCTGGGACATGATAAGTGCTCTCAATGCTGTTCAGTCTTTCGTCCTGCTTAAAATGCTTCCACAGCTTCAAGGTTGGGACCGTCAGCCTCTGCATCCCCATTTGGTGGCCCTTCACTTGCAGATGAAACCATTGTTTCCAGAAGCATTCTCTTGGTTCTGGGCTTAGGATACACTGATGTTTGTTTGCTTGTTCATTTGTTTTGTCCAGAAAGCATCCTCACACCATCCTTCCCAGCCACCTGACTATGCAGTCCTTCAGGCATTTTCATCAATAATACAAATAATCTAGAAGGCATGGGGATTCACTCCAGCGTATCTGATATGAGGAGTAGATCTAGGAGATGACTGAATGCCAACAGAAATGATTTCGGGTGTTTGTGGAAATAAAAATAGGAATTTAAGAGGCTTAGGGATGAAAGGGGCTAGGAAGGGTGCGCAGACTTGCTCATTGCTCATCGGTGTGTTTAGCAAGTGCTGATTGGAGCCCTGCTGTGTACCGACACTGTGGCTGAAAAAGGAAAGAATTCTTTTTTTTTTAAATAGTTTATTGTGAAGTTGATTTCCATATAACATCCAGTGCCCATCCCAAGTGCTCTCCTCCATGCCCATCACCCTCCTTCCCCTTCCCCACCCCCATCAGCCTTCAGTTTGTTCTCGGCATTCAGAGTCTCTCATGGTTTGCCTCCCTCCCTCTCCCCAACTATTTTTCCCCTTCTCCTCCCCCACGGTCCTCCGTTAAGTTCCTGCTAATCCTCCTATACGTGCAAACGTATGGTATTTGTCCTTCTCTGCCTGACTTATTTTGCTCAGCATAACACCCTCAAGGTCCATCCATGTTGCTACACGTGGCCAGATTTCATTCTTTCTCATTGCCTTGTAGTATTCCATCGTGTAGATAAACCACATCTTCTTGATCCATTCGTCAGTTGATGGACACTTAGGCTCTTTCCATGATTTGGCTGTTGTTGAGAGTGCTGCTGTGAACACTGGGGTACAATTCTTACCATCAAGGCGCTTTCAGCCCTGTGGCTCAGAGCGGTGAGCGCTGATTAACATGGCCCTTGTGCTTCCTTAAAGGGGGCTGGCAGAGACCTTCTCCACCAGAGGCATGGAGACAGACAGGAAGAGGACTGAAACCCTGGTCATTGGTCCCCAGCTCCCCACACCCTCTTCCTCAGAGCATGGGTTCAGGGGTTCCCATACGGAAGCTCATCTGGTAGGATTTCAGGGACTCTGGAACTCCTGCCTCTTTGCAATTCCTCTAATGAGGAGGAGAAACCAGTTCATTCACAGCCAGCAGTAAGAGGCTTAACTGTGGGAGGAGCCTCATTTGCATAAATATAACTTTCCAGGGAAGTATTATCAGTGAATTCAGCAAGGTTACCTGGTTGATATCAGACCTGGGCTTGGTGGGAAAAGGTGGGAGAACAGGGACCAGTCCAAAGGAGTGGGGTGGGAAGAATTCCGTGGAGCAGATTTATGGGGCTGAGGAAAGAGCACACCTTGCCTGCAATCCATTTTCTCTGCCCCACAGCCAGGCAGGGAGAGAGCGGGTAGTGGGCAAGCTGCAGGGCCAGGCAGCAGCTCCTCTCAAGACTAATCAATGGGGCGCCTGTGTGTCTCAGTTCGTTAAGAGTCCGACTTCGGCTCAGGTCACGATCTCACAGTTCATGGGTTTGAGCCCCACGTCAGGCTTGGTGCTGACAGTTTGGAGCCTGGATCCTGCTTCCGGTTCTGTGTCTCTTTCCCTCTCTGCCCTTCCCCCACTCACACTCAGTCTCTCTCTGTCTCTCAAAAATGAATAAATGTTAAAAAAAAAAAATAAAATCCAACAGTTGTTAAAAAAAAAAAAAAGAAAGATTAATCAAAATGTGTCGGCTGTGGGGCGCCTGGGTGGCTTAGTCGATTAGGGGCTGATTTCCGCCCAGGTGTGATCACATGTTTCATGAGTTCGAGCCCTGCGTCGGGCTCTGTGCTGACAGCTCAGAGCCTGGAGCCTGCTTCAGATTCTGTGTCTCCTTCTCTCTCTGCCCCTCCCCTGCTCACACTCTTTCTCTCAAAAATAAATAAACATTAAAAAATAATTTTTTTAATGTGTTGGCTGTTGTGGTGCCAGGGTTTTATTTGTTTGTTTTGTTTTTTGGTTTTGTGTGTGTGTGTGTGTGTGTGTGTGTGTGTGTGGTTTCTTTTCTTTTCTTTTTTTTTTTTTTTTTGGTTGTTGCTGATTTTTAACATGAATGCTTTAGTGCTTTAGTGTTCTTTGGCCATTTAGAATCCACATATGTTCTCCCTACAGGTAACCATCTACCTGGGAAAGAGAGACTATATAGACCATGTTGACCAAATAGAGCCTGTGGGTAAGTCGAGTTTGTAGTAAGATTGTAATTTTAATGCTGGTTTTCCTTTAAGTCATCAGACAACTGCTAGTTGTCTATTTCTTTCAAATCAGCTTTGCTAATAATCTAATTGTAAGAAGGCAAATTAAAACATGAGCGAGGAGCACTGGCTGATTGGAAATAATTTCAGAGCGTGGGGGGGGAAAAAGGACTCATTTCTAGAATATATAAAGAAACTCAACAGTAAGAAAAACAAAATCCAATTAGAAAATATGCAGAAAAGAGGGGTGCCTGAGTGGCTCAGTCAGGTAAGCATCTGATTCTCAACTTGGGCTCAGGTCATGATCTTACTGTTTGTGACTTTGAGCCCAGAGTTGGGCTGTGAGCTGACAGGCAGAACCTGCTTGGGGTTCTCTCTCTCCCTCTCCTCTGCTCACTCTCTCTCTCTCTCTGTCTCAAAAATAAATAAATAAGCTTAAGAAAATAGAGTAAAACTCTACATAAAGAAAGATAAAATACACAAAAAACATGAAAAGCAGTTCATCAGAGAAGATAGTATGGCAAATAAGCGCACTGAACAGGATTCAACATCATTAAACATTAGGGAAATGCAAATTAAAGCACAGTGAGCTGAAATATCATTATACACCCATCAGAATGGCTAAAATTAAAAATGGTGGCAATCCCAAATGGTGGTGAGACTGCTGGGAAACTGGATCACTCATACATTGCTGGTGGGGATGTGGAGCGGAACAGCTCCTCTGGAAAATAGTTTGGCAATTTCTTTAAAAATTAAACATACACTTACCAGATGACCCAGCAGTTACATTCCTGGGCACTCATCCCAGAGAAGCAAAAACTCACGTTCACACAAAAACCTGTACACGATTGTTTGTAGCAGCTTTATGTGTGACAGCTCCAAACCGGAAGGAACCAAAACATCCCTCAATAAGTGAAGAAACTTAAGCAAGCTGCAGAACATGCGTACCATGGAATTCTACTCGGCAGTGAGAAAGAATGAGCCGCCAACGCACGCCACAGCTTACGGATCTCAAGGGCATTGTGCTGAGCGGGAAGAGCCAATCTCAAAGGCCATATGTTGTGTGATTTCACTTAAATAACAATCTAGAGATGGCCAAGTTACAGAAATGGTAGTCCCCTGGGGACTGAGGATGGTGGGGAGAAGGGGTGACCCGAGAGAGACTGCTCTCAGGTGAGGGAACCCCTCTGTATCAATTTTAGGGGCGGTTACACAAACCTCCACGTGAGATAAAATGACTTTAGAACTAGACACACTGTCCCCTGTACCCGTGGCAGCTTCCTGGTTTCAATATTGCAGGATAGTTATCTAGGATGTAGCCACTGGGAGAAACTAAATGAAGGATACACAGGGCCCCTCTGTGCTATCTTTGCAACTTCCTGCGAATCTATAATTTTTCAAGTAAAATAGCTATTTTTATTTTTTTATGTATTTATTTATTTTTTTAATGTTTTATTTATTTCCAAGAGAGAGAGAGAGACAGTGTGAGCAGTGGAGGGTCAGAGAGAGGGGGAGACACAGAATCCAAAGCAGCCTCTGGGCCCTGAGCTAGCTGTCAGCACAGAGCCCGATGCAGGGCTCGAACCCACGAACTGTGAGATCATGACCTGAGCCTAAGTTGGACACTCAACTGACTGAGCCACTCAGGTGCACCTAAAATAGCTATTTTTAAAAAGACTGTGAAAGGGGCGCCTGGGTGGCTTAGTCAGTTAAGCGTCCGACTTTCGCTTAGGTCATGATCTCGCAGTTTGTGGGTTCGAGCCCCGCGTCGGGCTCTGTGCTGACTGCCAGCTCAGAGCCTGGAGCCTGTTTCAGATTCTGTATCTCCCTCTCTCTCTGACCCTCCCCTGCTCACGCTGTCTCTCTCTCTCCTACATAAATAAAACATTAAAAAAAAAAAAAAAAGACTGTGAAAAAAAACAACAACTTGGCATTTGTAGGCACTTGAGGGTTAGAATGTCCCTGAGCAGAACATTTTCTGGAAGGTCATTTGGCGATATGTCATCAAAGCCAAATCCGGCTCTACCGTTGATAGATACAAAGATGTACCTGGTAAAGATTTCCATCACAGTCCTCAGTATGATGGGGAAAATTGTAAACAACTCAAATGCCCTAACAAGAGGGGTTTAATTAAATAATTTATGGTATATAAATTTCAATGGAGTAATCACAGTGTATAGTCATTAAAACAATTCATACATAATGTGTGTGTGTGTGTGTGTATAAGGATAGATGTTTGCAGTGTATAGTTGCGTGAGAAAAGCAGTAAACTGAGTAGTGTATATAGTGGGATCTCAGTTTTTTAGAGAAAACATCCATGTAAGTGTATATACGTCTGGAACCAAAACTCTGTGCCAGTATCTTGACAATGGGTATCTCTGATTGGTGGAAATTTGGTTGACTTTCCAATTTTTGTATAATGAACAGGGATTACTTGCATAATTAAAGAGCCACAGATACATATATAAAGAAGGCTGCTGGTCTCTTTCGTCTTCTCCGCCCTCATTGTTCTCTTCTTTTCCGTGTAGATGGTGTCGTGTTGGTGGATCCTGCACTTGTGAAGGGAAAGAAAGGTGAGACCAGCTTCTTGAACTCTGAGGACCTGGTCTGGTCTGGTCTGGTCTTGGCTGGCTCTGGGTATGGGGGCGGTGGGGCGGGAGAGCCCGCTGGTGGCGCTTTCTCGCACCCATCACAGCCAGGCCCTGTCGCCCACACTCCCTCGTACAGTCTTCAGGACCCTGTCCCATTGTCCCCATTTCTCAGATGAAGGTCAAGACCCAAGGGAGCCACTGTTCAGGATGGCAGGACAGGTAAAGGGTGGCCAGAGTGTGGAACGCAGGTCTGTGGGCTCTGGCAGCTGCGTGCCGGCCCCGTGCCGTGTGGCTCTCTGCCGGCAGCAAACTCAGAAGGGTCCCTCGGTGGGTTTATCCCAACAGGGGGAAATTGAGCCCTGCTGGAAGGCTCATTTTTTAAAATGCTGACTGTGGTGGTTCCAAACCACAGCATCCCAGCGTCCCTGAAGACATCTGGCAGCTGTGATGTGTGGCAAGTAATTTGGTTCTAGTAACAGTTGTGTAAACCAAGTTAGGGCAGACCCCAGTTCTCCTTGTGATGATCTTACTGACTCCGTTCCATTCTGAGTGCACCTACTTGAGTGATTGCTACTGGCAACTATGGGGTGTCATTCCCCCTCCCCCCCAGGGTGTGTCCACAGGAGCACATCAGACACGGGCCATCGCACCGGCACCAGGGGATCGTGGCGGAAATGCTGTCTCTGCCTTCCTCCCGGGGGTCCTGCTTCTCTCTGGCACCAGGAGGAGCCTGGTTTGAGCCCTGACAGCCCACGCCCTGGGCCAGAGAAGGGCGCCTGCTCTGAGGGAAAGCGCTATCCAGTGAGGGAGGCACAATGCCCGGTCATCTCTGGGCACCTTCTCTTACAGACATTGGATGAGGGACAGGCAGTGGCTCTTCCAAGCTTGGTGGCAAGGACACAGACAAAATCCACAACCAATGATGTCTAGGACTTGGGGCCACCGCTCCTGATACGCTTCCTGTTCAAGAATAATGCTTTGCATGCTTTTATTTTCCCCATTAAAGACTGCGGTAAATAGTCCACCCTCAAAATGTATAGTTTCGTACAATCCTTCTGGTCCACTGGAAGCATGGATTTTATCTGTTTAACCAAACTGAATTTGCGGAAGTGTTGGCTTAGAGGATGCTTGATGGGTCCCTGAGGAAGGTGAAGGAAGCGTTTCTGGGGTCTGGTTTCACCTGTCCTCTGGGTCTGTGAGCCGCTGCCCAGCGCCTCCGCAGCCCCTGTCCGGCTCGGGTCTGTTTTGCTCCCGAGCGCGGTTTCCCTCTCAGCTCCATGCAGACATCCTGCCCCAAAGTCCAGTGACCTCGCACCTCCTGAGGTCCCTGAGCAGGGGGGTCGAGAGCAGCGGGTGATAGGACAGAGGACACAGGGGAGCCTGAAGGCAAAATAGGCGGTTCCCGGAAGGTGCCTCCCTTCCTTGGACTGACATCCCCTTTCAGGTAATTAACACAAGCCCCAGGGAAGGTGCCAGATCTGCAGAAGCTGCAGGCCAGCCAGGGCTGTGGTTCTAGATGCTAATGGGTGGGTGTCCGCGGCTGCTGCACGCCCACTCAGCCAGGCGGAGGCGCCACGCCAGTGGGATAAGCCCACCCTCCTCTTATCTCCCTCCCAGTGTACGTCTCTCTGACCTGCGCCTTCCGATACGGCCAGGAGGACATCGACGTGATCGGCCTGAGCTTCCGCAGGGACCTATACTTCTCCCAGGTGCAAGTGTTCCCTCCTGTGGGGACCCCGGGAGCCCCCACAAAGCTGCAGGAGAGCCTGATGAAGAAGCTGGGGGAGAACACATACCCCTTCCTGCTCACGGTGGGTGACTCCTCGCCCCTCTCCCCTGCCCCGGCTCCTTCACCCGCAGCACCTTGCAGTGCGACCAGGAGTGAAGGAGGAGGGGACAGAGTAATGGCTTCACATTTGTGGGCCTTTCAAATTGTATCCTTGGAGGAAATTCTAGATTGCACGGGTTGTGACTGTCTTTTTTAAGTCCTTGAAAATAGCCTCTCGGCCTTTGAAGGCATCATTTCAACCTACGGTTTATTTATTTCCCTTTGTCTGACCACCTAATTACACGGGCACGTTATTTCCTTCGCTTGCTCATCTATAAAAAGAAAGAAGTGCCCCTCGGTTAGCCCGGACGAGTTCTAAACGTGAAAGGCTCCCTGCAGGATGGGATAGCTTGCTGAAGTCGGAAGTCGTCTGTAGCCTTGACCGCTGCTCAGTGGGTCACGGCAGATGAATGGCTCCATCTCTCCCGGGCTCCTGTCCCGCCTGGTGAGACCGGGCGACCCACGGTGCCAGCCTGCGTGCCTCCGAAGGCTTGGGCGCGAGCTCAGTCCTGCGAAAGCAGCTACTGTTGTCCCTCCTAGCGTGTCCGTGTGTCTTCAGATTATCTATTGCTCCAAATGTATATGCCTCACCCGTGGAAGGGAAATTCTGACCCCTGCTACAACACGAACAGACCTTGAAAACATCCGACTAAATGAAAGAAGCCAGACACAAAAGGACAGACACTGTGTGATTCCACTTATAGGAGAGGCCGGGAGTAGTCAGATTAATAGAGACAGAATGTAGAATGGCAGGTGCCAGGGAACGGGGAGAGGAGGGAACAGGGATTTAGTGTTGACCACGTCCAGGGTTTCAGTTTGGGACAACAGGATTGTTCAGGAGATGGATGGTGGGGATTATTGTGGAACAGTGTGCATGAACTTCATGCCACTAAACTGGACACTTAAAATGTAAGTTTTATGTGATGCATACTTTACCATAACTTATTTTTTTGGTTTATGTTTTTATTTTTAAAAAATTTTTTAATGTTTTTTATTTATTTCTGAGAGAGAGAGAGAGAGAGACAGACAGCATGAGTAGGGGAGGGTCAGAGAGAGAGGGAGATACAGAATCTGAAACAGGCTTCAGGCCCTGAGCTGTCAGCACAGAGCCTGACGCGGGGCTCGAACCCATGAACCATGAGATCATGACCTGAGCCAAGTCGGACGCTTAACCGACTGAGACACCCAGAGGCACCTCAACTTATTTTTTTTTAATCACTTAAAAAAAAACAGTTTTGTGGTCCTGTGTGTCCTCATGATCTGGTACTCGGAGTTTCAAGTAACATAACCTTTTTTTGGTAATGTTTACTTACTTATTTATTTATTTATTTATTTTTTAATATTTTTATTTATTTCTAGGAGAGAGAGAAACAGCGTGAGCAGCGGAGGGTCAGAGAGAGAGGGAGTCACAGACTGAAGCAGGCTCCAGGCTCTGAGCTGGCAGTCAGCACAGAGCCTGACGCGGGGCTCGAACCCACGAACCGCGAGATCATGACCTAAGCGAAAGTCGGACGCTTAACCGACTAAGCCACCCAGGCGCCCCTATTTATTTATTTTTTGAAAGAGAGGTGGGGAAGGGGCAGAGAGAGAGAGAGGGAGACACAGAATCCAAAGCAGGCTTCAGGCTCTGAGCTGTCAAAACAGAGCCCAAAGTGAGGCTCGAACTCACAGACTGCGAGATTATGACCTGAGCCGAAGCTGGACGCTCAACCGACTGAGCCCCCCAGGCGTCCCTGAATTGAAGTAACTTTTTAGAGATAACAAGCCAACATGTATCAAATACCTTTAAAATATGACTTTAGGGGCGCCTGGGTGGCTTAGTCGGTTAAGCGTCCGACTTTTGCTTAGGTCATGATCTCGCGGTTCGTGGGTTCGAGCCCTGCGTCGGGCTCTGTGCTGACTGCCAGCTCAGAGCCTGGAGCCTATTTCAGAGTCTGTGTCTCCCTCTCTCTCTGACCCTCCCCTGCTCACGCTGTCTCTCTCTCTCTCTCCTAGAAATAAATAAAAATTAAAAAAAATAATAATAAAAAATAAAATGTGACTTTGACCTGACAATTCCCTTTCTAGCAGCACAGCCCCTGGACTTAATTAGAGTTGTGCTGAGGCGGATGAAAGAAGGAGGTTTATTGCAGCATTGTAGAAAGCAAAGTATCGTCACGTGAAGGGCCAGCCAATGACAGGGACCAGCTAAATTAAACGCGGTGTTAACAAAGCCCTGGGAGCGGGGGTGCACAGCTCATGGCATAGAAAAATGGTTGTCGCACAGCTCATGACATAGAAAAATGGTCGTCGCATAGCTCATGGCATAGAAAAATGGTTGTCGCACAGCTCATGGCATAGAAAAATGGTCGTCGCATAGCTCATGGCATAGAAAAATGGTTGTCGCACAGCTCATGGCATAGAAAAATGGTCGTGACACATTCCGAGCGGGGTTAGGGCGGTGATAGGAGCAAAGCAGAGGCAGGACATGTGCATCGTGGATCTCATTTCTGTGAAACACACATCTGCGCACATGTTTGTGGGTAAGGGTGCCCAGAGGACACTTGCGGGCTCCCGTCTATGTTATTCCGGGCGGTGGCAGTTTGGGTGACCGTGGTGTTTTAGGTTTGTTTTTCTTTTTTGCTTGCTCCTCATATTCACCTTCCGATTTTTAAAAAAAATTTTTAATGTTTTATTTATTTCTGAGAGAGAAAGAGAGACAGTGTGAGCAGGGGAGGGTCAGAGAGAGAGGGAGACACAGAATCTGAAGCAGGCTCCAGGCTCTGAGCTGTCAGCACAGAGCCGATGCAGGGCTCGAACCCACGAACCATGAGATCATGACCTGAGCCGAAGTCAGACGCTTAACCGACTGAGCCCCCCAGGCGCCCCTTCACCTTCTGATTTTTGTACGTTGAGTGCATATTACACACGGAAGCACCCACTCTAAACAAATGATTTGTTTCTTCCTGCAGTTTCCGGACTACTTACCCTGCTCAGTGATGCTGCAGCCGGCTCCGCAGGACACGGGGAAGGTTCGTTCCTAAAGAAATGCCATGGGTCAATTCATTCCATCAAAAGATTTTATATATATTTTTTGAGAGGGGAGGAGCAGAGAGAGAGGAAGAGAGAGAATCCCAAGCAGGCTCTGAGCTGCCAGCACAGAGCCCAACGTGGGGCTTGATCCCACAAACGGTGAGATCATGACCAGAGCCGAAATCAAGAGTCTGACGCTTAACCGACTGAGCCACCCAGGCATCCCTCAAAAGACTTTAGAAATAGCCATATAGTGTGGAAAATTTCAAATAGACAGAAAAGTAGAGAGCCGTTATAATAAATCTGGTCACCGCACTGTACGGGGCTGCGTGGGCCCAAGCACGAGCTCCAAAGGAGGAGAGAAGCAAAGGGGCTGAGTGTGGACAAGGAGGAGTGGCCGGGGGCTCTGAGTGGTGGCCGGGGACTGTACGTGGTGGCTCTACTCCCTGAAGGAGGGTGGTGAGGACAGGAGGAGACAGTGAAAGGTGCCAGGACCTACGGATCCCAGGCCCTGAAATCTCAGGTGTCACAAGGGAGCAGGCTGGACAGAAGTGAAGTGTGGACAGAGTGGCAGGGCTGATCCCTACAGCTGGGGACACCCTGGAGCTGGCGCGGCAAGGGTACCAAGGCATTTGTCAAACATAGAAAAGAGGGAGACAGAGAGGCATGAAGCGTTCAGGCAGAGGGAACAGCATGTGTCCGGGTGGACCAGAGTGAGGGCTTGGCTTGCATAGGCAGCATCTTTAATAAAGTGGGGGAGGGGCAGCAGGAGCGAGGAGGGACAGAGCGGGGTCGGTTGCAGCACGAAGCACTGCCGGGGTGGTGGTGGGTAGTGGTGCCCGTGTGCCTGTGACCTAGAGTCAGACTTGCCATGATTCCACAGCTGCAAAACCAACGAAGCTGTGTGGTTCGTGTGCCACCGTCAGCACAGCTGACTTCGTGCCCTTGCTGCCTCTGGGCAGTGGGTGAGGGCGGTGCGGCCCCCATGCGCCCCACGAGTGATAGTGAGTGGGCTGGGCTGGGGTCTCATGGGTCTGGGGGCGGAAGGTGGCAGGGGACATGTCTGTTTCACCCACGCAACATACTGTTATTTAGTCTATTTATTTATTTATTTATAATTTTTTTTAACGTTTTATTTATTTCTAGGAGAGAGAGAGAGACAGCGTGAGCAGGGGAGGGTCAGAAAGAGAGGGAGTCACAGACTGAAACAGGCTCCAGGCTCTGAGCTGGCAGTCAGCACAGAGCCCGACGCGGGGCTCGAACCCATGAACCGCGAGATCATGACCTAAGCGAAAGTTGGACGCTTAACCGACTAAGCCACCCAGGCGCCCCTATTTAGTCCATTTAAGCATCAAGAGGCTTCACTCCCAAGTTCCGTTTCCAGCTTCTAGGCACAAGTTGGAAGAGCTGCCGGCCCCGGGCCCCCTGGCCCAACCTGGCCACTGACCGTCCCCGCTCCCCCCCACCCCAGGTTGGGCATTAGTGGCCAGCGTGGGCAGGCAAGGACCTTCTGTTGCCCTGTGAGCACCTGAGTTTGGCCCCCCAATAGGCAGAGCGACATCAGTAACACACGTGCAGGGTCACATCTAGAAAGACAACTAAATGGGGGTGGGGGGCCAACACCATATGGATCCCCCTGGGGGCTTGGGGACCACAGCGCGCTTCTCATGCTGATGTCACCCCCACCTCACGCAGCAAATCTCACCTCAGTGGGGCAGCCCCAAAAAGGACATGGCAGAGACAGAAAGAGAAGGTGCCACATAACGTCCCCGTGGGCAGTGTGACCCCAGCTCCCAGGAAGGGAGGTGCTCACCCAGGCCTTGTCTCTCCTCTTGTCCCCTTGCAGTGCTGTGGGGTCGACTTTGAGGTCAAAGCATTCGCCAGAGACAGCACAGAGGACGAGGAGGACAAAGTGCCCCGGAAGTAAGAGTGTAGCCGTGGGAGGAGGGGCGGCGCTCGGGCTGGGGGGCAAGGAGCTGGGGTAGGAATCCACCCCTCGCTTTGGCTCCGTGAGGAAGAGCTTCCCCGACAGGGCTGCGTGGCCAGGCAGTCAGGAAAGACTGTCTACACCTGGGGCGGGTCAGTGGCTGATCATTCGAGGAGTCCGCAACCTCAAGGGTTCACAATAAACCTCTAAAAGACTCCAGCTTCCCTCTTTCTTTTCTTTTCTTTTTTTTTAAGTTTATTTATTTATTTTGAGAGAGACAGAGAGAGAGAGAGAGAAAGAGAGGAGGCACATGAGTGAGAGCAGGGGAGGGGCAGAGAGAGGGGGAGAGAATCCCAAGCAGGCTCCCTGCTGTCAGCACAGAGCCTGACGTGGGGCTTGAACTCACGAACTGTGAAATCACGGCCTGAGCCCAGATCTTCATCCACAGGAGCTCCGTGCGTTTACTGATCCGCAAAGTACAGCACGCGCCACTGAAGATGGGCCCCCAGCCCCAAGCGGAGGCATCCTGGCAGTTCTTCATGTCTGACAAGCCCTTGCACCTCGCGGTCTCCCTGGGCAAAGAGGTGAGCCGCTGGCTGTGGCTGTGTCCCTTGTGGGGAGCAGGCCTGGGGGACAGGCCCCGGGGCCCCGTCTGCTGAGAGTGTGTTGCAAGCGATCTTGTTTCCAGGCACAGTTAAAGCACCAGCATTTGCGAACAATTGGCTTTTTTTCATAACTTGGAGCTCGTAGAGGTGACCCTTAGCCACATTCACCAGCACTGCTGGTCCTGACCAACTAGGGAGAGGGAAGGTGGTCTCCGCATCCCCCCACCCCAGACTGTTTTCTGCCCCCTCTGCCCCCATGGGCCTCATTTACCAGCACGGCACCAATGGGTGTAGCTTTGCAAATTGTTGACATCCCTTGGGAGATGTATGTTTCAACGTCACGGGGAAGGGGTGGCTGAATCGTGTGAATGTTATCGCTCAGGTACGTCGAGGTGGGAAAGGGTGAAGAACCACTGGCCAAGGCCGTCTCTGGTCCGTTTGGTCGCCAAGAGTTGTGCACACGTGTGGGCACAATCTCAACATGCTGCAAGTGGTGTGTGTGTGTGCACACGTGCGCCCACCTGGGCCTACATCACGTGGGGAGTACTGTAGAGGGGAGTTCGGCTGCTGGGCTCCCAGTGATTCCCGGTCACTGCACTCATCCTGCCCCCAAATGGCCTTGTAATTCCACTCAGGACCCCTGCGGCTACCTCTGCCCTGGCCCTCAGGGCCTCTGCACTGAGCATTCCAGGCGGGGGCACCCTCGCTCCACCCCACGTTGGCCACCATAGTCTTCCTCACTATGTGCCACACGCAAGGCAGACGGTGTTCTGGACCCTGGCTAAAGGAATCATGTTGCTGTCACTTTATCTTCCTTGAAAGTGTGGGAACTCTGTCACTTTTATTCTAGTTAAAGCGTTGAGATAAACCTAGAAAAAGCCATGAGATTAAAGATACCACCACCCTCTGTTCCTCTTTTCTGGCTCATCTGCTGACTTTTGCAGATCTATTTCCATGGGGAGCCCATTACTGTGACCGTGACCGTGACCAACAACACAGACAAGACAGTGAAGAAGATTAAAGCATTAGGTAGGACCTTCTCAAAACGGGAGGGCGGCGTCTTCTAGAACTTCTCAATCTGGTCCTGTTTTCCAAGGGTCTCTCCTCTGGTTGGATAAGGGCTTCCTGGGTCTCTGTAACTGCCTGTTTATCTCTGTCGTCATGGACAGCAGGAACTTGCTGGAGGCAAGACCTTCAGCGTAGCCTCACGCAACCTTGCGTCCAGCTCGGGCCTGTCTTTTGACTTGAAACCACATCCTTGACAGGCGATCTTCTATCTTTCCGTGCCAGGCCTTACCGGCAGAGCCCCTTGCCGGATCTCAGGGGAAGACACAGATTTCCTCTCTCGGATCAGAATGAAGTTTTGTTGGCAGATGCAGCACAGTGTAGTGGGGAAAGCACTAGATGGACAACCGTAGACCTCACCTGTGGGCCCATGCCATGTGAGCCCTCTCGGAATCCCGGTTGACGTCCCCGGCGCTGGTTCCTGGTCTACCTTCCTGGGTTTCATGAGGCCCCGGGGACTGGTCACACTGGGGACGCTTCGTGAACGGCAAAGCCCTGCTGTCTTCTGCTGCTGTTGCAACACCACCATGTGACAGCCAAGCCTTGCCTCTTGCCAAAGGCAGGGCGCCTCCTACCTGTTTGTTCTATACATTTCTTCAGCTCAGAGGGCATCGACATGCGGGGGATGGTCTGATAGCATGAGCTTCTAGGTGCTACGTAAAAAAGACACGACACAATGAGCAGGGGGGTGACCTGTAGGCTTACCGCTAACTCAGACCCTCCATGAGTAAGACCCAGTTAGACTCAGAATATGGATTTTCAGTGCCAAAAGGGGCCAGTTCCAGGCAAAGCAGGATGGTTGGTTGCTCATGTCATATACCACTTTCCTCTTTGCTTGTGTGTCCCTCAGGGGTAAGGAGGTTCAGGAGTTCTGACGAATGCGTACTAACGAATTATAGAGTTTTCCTAATACAGATAGGAATGCTTACAGCTTTGTCTTACGTTGGTTTAGTTCATCTGCATTTTGTCTTTGTGGGACCTGGTGTTATTTAGCATCTTTGGTGTGTACTGTCCGGTCTAGTGTTCCACTAAGTAGCAGGATTGAGAGAGCATCGTTTGATACCTGATTTTTCGTTTTTTTTAAGTTATCTTATTTTTTATTTTTATTTATTTATTTAAAAATTTTTTAATGTTTTTATTTATTTCTGAGAGAGAGAGAGAGACAGCGTGAGCAGGGTAGGGTCAGAGAGAGAGGGAGATACGGAATCCGAAGCAGGTTCCAGGCTCTGAGCTAGCTAGTTTTGAAAGAAGATGTTGAATTTTCTGAAGCAAGATGTTAGTAGCTTTTAAAAAATGTTTTAAAAGTTTTTTATTTTTCATTTTGAGAGAGAGAGTAGGGGAGGGGCAGAGAGAGAGAGGGAGAGACAAAATCCCAAGCAGGCTCCCCACTGTCAGCGCAGAGCCCCATGCGGGCTCAATCTCCCAAACCATGAGATCATGACCTGAGTCCAAATCAAGAGTCAGACACTTAACCAACTGAGCCCCTCCCTCCCCGCCGCGCCCCATTAGTTGCTTTTTATATGCTGGGCACTGTGCTGAGTGCTTCACACAAATTGCTTCTTTTAATTCTCAAATTTGGTTTTAACAGATATTAAAATTTATCTTTTTAATCATCACAACAACCATGTACGTTAGATACAATTATCACCCCCATTTTGCTGATGGGGAAGCTGAGGCTCAGATGAGTGACTCACCCCACGGCCCATAGCTAAGCTGGGATTTGAGCCCAAGTAGTCTGGCTCCAGAGCCTACCTTCTTATCCACATGGTTGTGCTGCCGGCAGATGGTTTTTGGCTTGGACAACTAGAAACAACTAGAAGGACGTACTCATTAAATAAGAAGGTGTTGGAAAGGGGTGGGTTTGGAGGTGGAGCAATTGGTGAGTTCCAGAAGGATACCCAGGGGTAACGCCGTGGGCTCTGCAGAGAGGGCTCTCCTAGTAGGTGCCGTTTTAGGGAGGCTGGCTTATAGGTGGGAGCCGCCACAGAGCAGGTGACTGGTGAACAGAAGTGTCCTAAACACAGAACCCAGAAACCTCCGCCTTAAAACCATGCCTGAGAAGCACAGCCCAAGAGCCACTGGGGAGGGAAGACCAACCGTGTCCCTCGCAGGCACCGTGCCCAGGCGCGGACGGCCCCGTGTGAATCACCCACTCCGTCCTTCCTTTGCAGTGGAACAAGTGGCCAACGTGGTTCTCTACTCGAGTGATTATTATACCAAGCCTGTTGCCGAGGAGGAAACACAGTGAGTAGCTGGTTGGGATCCTACTTCCTGGACAGCTCAGCCTTCTTTGTCAAGTTCCCCTTTCGTTCATCCCCGAGAGGGAAGTGGGATGCTTCGCTTCCTTCCTCTTTTCTCCCTTCATGGGCTGCAAAGAAAGTTAGCCTCTCAGTTCCATTCTCACTCACAAGAGTTCTGTGAGATCTCACTCACAAGGAATGATGGAAAGGAGAGAAACAAAGATCCAAATGTCACAGGGGGAAGAGCTGGAACTTTCTGTTCATCTTTGGAATATGTTGGTAGGAATTTGATACTATCTCTGTCCCCCCCCGGAGCAGATAATCAAATAATCTGTCAGCTCAAGCGAGGGCCCTCTGTGTTTTATCTTCAACTCAATTTGAAAACGTGGTACCAGTGACAGCCGGGTTCCAATGATGTATCAGTTCTGAGCCCAGCGGCATCAATCGTTTCTCTCCCTTCATCAGGATCAGAAACAGATGAGAGTCCTATGGTCGCGTCTTCACGCTGGAGCGAGAGGCCAGCCCAGTTTTGCTCCACGCTTTTCGTTCCCACGCAGGCCACTGGGGTGACGCCTCCCCCAGAGAGTGTCGCTTGGGCAGATCTGTTCCTCTTTGTCTTCCTGGTGCGTCTAAGCACCATCGTATGCAAAAAATATTACCAGAATTACAGGAAGGGAGCCAGTAAGGAAAAACAAACTGATGCAGCAAGAGAACATGACGTCAAGTTTAAAAGACAACTTTGGAATAAACTGTTACTCAAAGCAGATCTGGCCCCAGGTTTAAATATAGATCCAGAGGGGAGGGAAGCAGGAAAGAGCCGCAAGTTGTCGGCTGCTCCCTGGGGACTGGCGGGGTCTGTTCTCGACCTTGCAGGTGCGTCCTTGTACACCCTGGTGTCCCGGAGGCTCCCGGGCTCACGTTTGGCACATGCTCAATGATGAGAGGAGAAAATGGCCCCTGGCCGAGTTTTTCCCTCCCAGAGCCCATATCTGGTCTTCTTTTCAGCAGTTCAGTGCATTTGGGAGCAAATGATTCCTGGGAAACTGGCGATCATTCTAGGGTCCCCCCCCGCCCAAGGATGGGAGGCGGGACACTGAAAAACCTGGGCCGATGGTGCTCACGGGTCTCTGACTAGAAGCCACTCAGAAGGCCATAGAGCCCGAGTCACTGTCCCTGAACCCTGAGGCACCCAGAACCCTGGGGGCCGATTCCTGGGCTGGGTTTTCAGGGCCACCCTCTGCCTTCTCCTGGCTGGGTGCAAGGAGTGAGGACATGCCAGGAGCGCTGTCACAGGCCCCGCAGGCTGGGCCCTGCGGCTGCGTGGACGGCTCTGGGCACAGGCCTGGTATGCGCTATGCCGGTCGATGGCAGAGCCAACCCCGTAGCCTCCGTTCCGTGAGCCAAGGGTGCTGCAGACCCCTCGCACTGGGTCCCCAGATCCATCCCCGACCTGCAGACCCGCAGTTCCACACGGGCTCCCTGTGTCTGGCGGATGCTGAGGAACTCACCACCCAACCAGTGACAGGAAGATCTGGGAGAGACAGAGCTCGTGTGCCTGAACCCGAACCAGCCCGGTCTGCGCGGCTCACAGAGGGCCGCACCACGCCCTCCTCAGCAACTCGTTTCCCTGGACTCGTGCCCATCCTGATAGCCACAGCTCTTGGAGGCAGGCGGCTTCCAGCCTGGGCCTGTTGCTGGCACTGGTCAGGTGGCCTGCAGCCCACTGCCTGGTCAAGAAGTGTCGGGAGGGGGCGCTTGGGTGGCTCAGTAGGTTGAGCGTCCAACTTTGGCTCAGGTCATGATCTCGCGGTTCATGAGTTTGAACCCCACATCGGGCTCTGTGCTGACAGCTCAGAGCCTGGAGCCTGCTTCGGATTCTGTGTCTCCCTTTCTCTCTGACCCTCCCCTGCTCATGCTCTGTCTCTCAATAATAAATAAACATTAAAAAAAGTTAAAAAAAAAAAGAAGTCTCGGGAGGAGACTGGTGTGGTCCCTGACCCTTGTGCGAGTCAGTCTCATTGAACCCCACAAAATACTCCAGAAATTAAGCAACTCAGAACAGGATGAGGGACTTGAAGGAATGTCTTAATGTCACTGCCAGCCTATTTTTTTTTTAATGTTTATTTATTTCTGAGAGAGAGAGACAGAGCACAAGCAGGGAAGGGGCAGTGAGAGGGAGACACAGAATCCAAAGCAGGCTCCAGGCTCTGAGCGGTCAGCGCCGAGCCCGACGTGGGGTTTGAACTCATGCACCATGAGATCATGACCAGAGCCGAAGTTGGAGGCTCAACTGACTGAGCCCCCCAGGCGCAACTGCCAGCCTATTTTGAGATATCACTAGTGCTTGTCGTAAGGCAAATGCACAGATACCTGAACTGTCTTCCCCATGGGTTGCAGGGAACACGGATCCGACAGTTGCTTCATGACCATCAGAACAGTTCGCCAAATACTCTGTGTGTTTCTTCCTGCAGAGAGAAAGTGCTACCAAACAGCACTCTGACCACGACGCTGACACTGTTGCCCTTGCTGGCCAACAACCGCGAGAGGAGAGGGATCGCGCTGGACGGGAAGATCAAGCATGAGGACACGAACCTTGCATCCAGCACCATGTGAGTCCTTGTAGCTCAGGAGACAGGCCCCTGCAGCTCAGCACAGGGGTGGCACCCGTCCGCCCCACCCCTCATCTCACCCCCTGGGCTCACGGACTCACATGTGGCATGATGGCTGTCACTGCGGGTGCAGAGCGCAGACTCAGCGGCCCAGGTAGGGCCCCGCTCCCAGCCCCCCATGTGACGTGGTGGCTACAGCAGTGGGGCCCCAGAGACAGCCTTGTGCCACACCCCAGCTCCACTGCTTCTGGTCTGGGGCCCCCTGGGCAGATGACGTGAGCTGTCTGAGGACCTCAGTTTTCCTGTCTGTCCAGTGGGGGTGCTGCCTGTCCTCATGGAGAGGTTTATGACGATTATGGGAGACGATCCACAAAAAGCTCCAGGCAGTAATGAGCCAATGGCGTCTTCGGAGGGCATAACGGCCCTAGGAGCCATGTCCAAGGTGCCTCCCGTGAGAGGGACCCCAGGGCTGGGGTCTTTGGGCCCAAAAGGTGCCCCGCACTCTCTCAGACCGTTCTCACACCTGTCAGCACGGCCACGCCCCGGCCTTCCGCCTCAAGCCGTGTTGTCTATTGTCATTCACATTGTTCGAGTTAGCGCGTCCTGATGTTTTTCAGACCTTAACTCCTGTGACTGGGCGTCCGGGAACACTTAATGTCCACACATCAGACCACATGAGATCCTAATCTGTGTTGCAAGGCCCAACACGGTGCTGTCAGGCAGTAGGAGCTCAGCACCTGTTAGCACAACCCGAAATGGAGTTTCGGTTGAGGAAGGTTAGACAGCACTCGCTCTCTGGGGCACACGCCATGGCCCCATGCACCGCGTTCATCCCATGATGCTTCAACACGTTGCTGGGTGCTGGGATCACAGGGCCAGAGCTCGAAGGAGAGAGACCTAAGGTGTTTGGCGGGTGTCCAGGGAGGCTTCCCAAAGGAGGATCAACTTCAGCTTGAGGTCTCAGAGAGCAGAGGAGGAAGGCATTCCGGGGCCGACTTACGTTTGGCAAGGCTGGCACATGGGCGACACTGAGGCGTAGCAGGGCGTGAGGGAGCAGAAGCAGGCAGAGGCCAGCTCACAGACCTAGCGGGGCCACGCTAGGATTTGAACCGGGGAGAGCTCTCCGACTGCCGAGTGGCTGAGAGCTCAGGGAGGGAACCTTGCCTGTGGGAGGTAAGTTACTGAGATAAAGCCTATGAGGGACTTGGCAGTTGGCCCAGGATGGCAGGTGAGGCAGAGGGAGGGGTGGAGGATGACGAGGTTCTGGCCATAGGATAGGCAGAGGGAGGGGTGAGGAGGACAGGGTTCTGGCCGTAGGATAGGCCGGTGGAGGAGCATTAGTGGAGACTGAGCAGGGAGCACCAGGAAGCTCAATGTGCCCTCTGAACCTCCAGGGGGAAAATGCTAAGCTCCAATGCAAGAAAGAAATCCCCTTCCCTGAGTATGGAAAGTTCTAGGACTTTGACAGCTGGATTGAGTTCACCGGGTCCTTGAGAAGATGCCCCCCTTATAATAGGCTTGTCTGGAGGTGAGGGCTTTGTTCATCCAGCCCTTGCTTTCCGCTGCTCCTCTCCATCCTTCCCCTGTTCCTTTCCGTTTGAGCAGAGTGAAGGAGGGCATAGACCGGACCGTCCTGGGCATCCTGGTGTCTTACCATATCAAGGTGAAGCTCACGGTGTCAGGGTGAGTGTCCAAGGTGCGACTCCGTCTGCTCTTTCATGGCCTTTCCCAGTCTGAACTGTCCCTCCAGTGAATGATTGATTAGGGGCCAGAAAGTAGGAAAGGTCTGCAGATTCTAGCGCTGACCAAGTAGAGTTTTGGAGAGATTCTACCTGTCTGGCTGTCAGTTCTGTCTGATATGACAGCACATGGAAAAAAGTAGCAAAGCAAACTACGAAACACATGTACTGTTAGTACTACTTGGCAAAAGCGAGTGTGCCGTGCTCACGCGGTGGAAGTTGATAGGCAAGAGAGGGAAATCACTTTAGCGCTACCTGGCCCTGCGGAAAGGAATGGAGGCTTCCAGACATGCTCTGGGTAGATCTTAATGCCCGCATCTTAGGAGGCCTCCACCCACAATGGGGACACCTTTCCTGCCTTCCCAGCATGCCATCACAGGATTTGGGAGTCTCCTTCCCATAGGAGAGCACAGATACCTCCGATTTCTGGGGAGCTGACTTTCCTTTTTTAAAAAACTTTTATTATTTTTTAAAAATGTATTTATTTTGAGAGAGAGAGAGAGCCTGAGGAGGGGCAGAGAGAGACAGAGAGAATCCCAAGCAGGTCCCACACTGTCAATGCGGAGCCGACTCAGGGCTCAAAACTCAGGAACTATGAGATCATGACCTGAGCCGAAATCTGGAGTCAGACACTCAATCTATGGAGCCACCCAGGCAGCATCCTCCCCGCAGCCCCCCGCCTTTTTTTTTTTTTTTTTTTTTTAATGAGATGAACTTCTATCTTTAAAAAAATCTCATCAAAAGGAAAAACTTTGAATTCTCATTTTCCTTTCAAACTCTATTAGCTAAGGCTCTGTTCTGGCCTCTCACGTTAGTGAGCCACCAAAGGCAAATCTGGGCATCTTTTCCATAAGTCTAAGTCGATAAAGAGTTCCCCAGACTTTGGTGCGGACAGCAAAATAGAGCATGGGCTGATCTCACAAATTTTGTTACTACGGTGTCTGTATGTGTGGTGTTTTTCAAAGCGTGTAGCATTTTCTTTGATTTTCTCCAAGAGGATCTGAAACAATGGAGTTTCTTTTAGCAGTCAAATAAGTGAATAACAGGTATTTCACAATGACCTTTGTGGTTTTTTCTTGAACATCAGGACTTTGACCCAAGTGATTCCTCTTTTTAGCTAATCCACTCGAGAAAGAGCTAAAATCGCAAGTAGAGAGGAATAATGGAGTCGCATGTTACGGGGCCGCCTAGACCCCTAACCTACAAGTAGGTTGTGAGTGAGGAGCGTGCCTGGGACAGGGCCACCTCTGAATAACGGGAAATAAAGTCCTGCCACCACTGGGACAGTCACCGGCCCTGTTTGCTTTTGTGTTTTCCAGCCTTCTTGGAGAGCTGACATCCAGGTAAGCCTCGTCAACTTCCTCCCCTGCCTGATTCCCAGGGTAGCAGAGGGGACTAAACCTGAGATTCAGAATAGTAGCAGCAAAATCTGGTTTGCTGGCAGTTCTGCTCTGAGGTGTTATGAGATGATGATGCCCACAGCCCTCAGTATGCATCATGCCAGCCTTGCCTCGTCGGTGTAGGGTTAGGGCTTCTGTCCGAGACCGTAGCTGGGCCTCCCCTGGGCAAGGACACACAACTGCACACACACACAGAAAACTAGATGCTCTAGGCCGCTGTCTTTGTGTATAACACAAAGCTTACCATTTTAACCACTTTATTTTTATTATTTATTTATCTATCTATTTATTTATGTTTATTTTTGAGAGAGAGAGAGCATGGGAGAGTGAGCAGGGGAGGGGCAGAGAGAGAGGGAGACACAGAATCTGAAACAGGCTCCAGGCTCCGAGCTGTCAGCACAGAGCCCGACGCGGGGCTCGAACCCATGAACCGTGAGATCATGACTTGAGCCGAAGTCGGACGCTTAACCAACTGAGCTACCCAGGTGCCCCATAACGGTTACCTTTTATAAATTGTGCCCACAGAGGCAGGGTAGGCAATGTTTGAGGCAGACACTGACCTTACATAGTCCTTCACCTTGACTCTTACCGTCTCCTTCCCTCAAACGGGACCCAGGGTGCAACTTTCCTCCCAGACCCCACCTGCACTGGGGTCTGATGAGAGGGGCCTTGTGAACAGATGGCCTTTGATGGAAGCTGGGGTAGGAGGCTGTGGGTTGTAGGTGATGCAAGGAGAGACGCTTGTTTTTTTTCACCCCTGCCTTTCCATTCTTCCTTGGTCCAGATTTCCCTTCTCTTCTCCTTCCTGACTCCTTTCCTCCCTTCTTCTTGTATAAATTCCAAGTCTCCCTGAAGCCTTTTAGCTTCTGGAATTTGGAGGGCTCTGCTCATCTCTGTTCTCTCTAGCAAGTGACTATGTGACTGTTAACATGGAGCTGACATATACAAAGTCGTGTACGTTTTTCCAAGATTGTTTTTTGAAACCATCCTTTCTCCGGGATTTCACGTCTCCTGTGCCCACAACAGCATGTCGCTGAAACTAGAAACCAGGAGGGATGGGGGACCTACCAATCCTAGCTGTCTCCACCAGGCCTAAGTGAACTTTCTGGACCCATTCCAGGGAATACATTTAAAATTCCTACTTGACCACTTCCTGATTTCTGGTTTGTTTTGTTCTGAATCACGCTGAATCCTCAGCCAGCTGGGAATCTCTGCAGCCACAGCACTTCGCGTGATTTATAATCGTGCGCGCGTTTTCACCTATCTGCTTTTCTTTTTTTCTAGCGAAGTGGCCACTGAGGTGCCTTTCCGCCTCATGCACCCCCAGCCCGAGGACCCAGGTCAGTCATGCATTGTCTTGGTTTTCTCTACCCATTTTTGTTTGCAGATTTCTTCTTTATTCATTGGTAGTCATTCCTGACTCTGACTCGAGGCGTAGGCATGGGCAGGTGATTGCGTGTCATCCTCAAGGTGCCCTGGGCCAGCCCACAGCGGGGTATTGATCCTCTCAGCCATGAGCCACGGCCTGTCCACCTTCAGTTAGCTGGTGGAGGACAGAGCATCCCTTCTCTTGGACATGGTCTCTCTCGTGGGGTTTGCTCAGGAATGATTCATTTTTAAAAAATGTTTATTTATTGTTGAGAGACAGAGGACAAGCAGGGGAGGGGCAGAGAGAGAGGGAGACACAGAATCTGAAGCAGGCTCCAGGCTCCGAGCCATCAGTACAGAGCCTGACGCGGGGCTTGAACCCAGGAACTTCAAGATCATGTCCTGAGCCGAAGTCAGTCACTTAGCAGACTGAGCCACCCAGGCACCCCTCATCAGGAATGACTTAGAAACAGAAGCTCAGATGTGAATAGAACTAGACTGAGACTGAAAGACAATGGAGGTGAAAAACACATTTAAGAGGCTGAGGCTTTTGCATTTCTTTCGGAAACATTAATGGACATTTGGAAGACAACAAGTATGCTTGACAGTGACAATTGTTTTTGTGTGGTGAGAGCACTGAAAATACTAGAAAAGAGTGTCAAGCCAGGTTCCTGACACCTTGGCTGTCCTTCAAATAGCAAATCTGTTGGCTCTTGTATGGCTGTCTGAAGAAAATGAAGCCAGGGTTGAATGACTCTGTGAATACACGAAAAACCACTGGAGTGTGCATATAAATCGGTACATTGTGTGGTACACGAATTAGATCTCAACACGGCTCTTTTAAAGTAAATGGAGCAGCAAACCTCAAATGGGCACAATCTCAGAAATTTTGGGGGAAATTCTCCACCGTGTTCATGTTAAGGTGGCTGAGTTGGCAGGAAACGAAAATGGACTTGGGTGAATGAGAACCCTCCTCCCTAGTTAGAGCAACAAAGAATATTTTAAGTAAAAGTGTTATAAACAGGGCGCCTGGCTAGCTTATTCGGTAGTACGTGCGACTCTTGATCTTGGGGTTGTGAGTCCAAACACCACACTGGGTGTAGAAATTACTAAATAAACAAACAAAAAGTGGTATAAACAAGCAAGATTTATTTTTCTTATACTTTATAGTTTTTTAAATATTGATCATGAAATGGCATTTAAACATTAGAATGAGCCCCACCCCCGTATTCATTTTGGATTTGTCTCAAAAATATTTTGTCTCAAGGTATTTTTTCCAAATGTTTTAGGTTCAAATAGTCAGTAGACTTTGGGGGGAAAAAGTAGTCTGGCCACATTTTTCTTATTGCTGTACGCTGGCATAGTTCAGACACTATTTTTTACCTCTGTGAGATTGAGATGCATTCCGGTCCCTTCCGAGGACATTTAAAAAGAATATTTTAAAACTATGACCTGAGGGGATGTCATCATTTATGCCAGGTTGTTTTCTGGAGCTGTGAACAGACTTTTCAACTTCGCTTGAGGGAAAGTGGGGTCTCTTTTTTGGGTATGACATTTTCGTGTTTCAGTCATTGGGGCCCTCCCGTTGAACATACCACAACACCAAGGCTACACAGTGACCTTTTATGCTGTGAGATTTCAGGGAGAAAGGACAAGTTATCCCCATGGCCTCGAAATTCTGACTTGGAGTCAGAATTCTGATTTGAGTCGCAGATGTTTCATTCACAGGAGTTCTCACACGGGCAGGTTACCCGTCTAGTTCCCGGCTCCGAGTTAGACAGGTAGACTGAGCAGAAAAGGTGTCACTTGTAGCTAAGAAGCCTTGCCAGGACCAGGGGCCAAGTGATTTGTACTTAACACGCACTACAGAAATGCTACCGAAAAAAAAGAAAAAGAAAAAAGAAATGCTACCGAGTTTTAATGATCCCTTGTCAGGAGCATCCACGTGGAAGGCAGGGGTTGATTTGATTCTCATTAAGGCTGGTGATCCCGGTTAGTGTAATCACACAAGCATGTTGGGGCTCGGGGCGGTTCTTGCACAGGGGCCTCTCCGTTGGTCTCCTGTGGTTAGCAGCCCACAAAGACACTGCCCTCCCAGTGCTGGAGAGAACAGAGCAGTGACTCTCCATCACTCTGGGACTCCCAGAAAAACCCTCTGGAGTTGTTCACTTCTCTTAGCTCTTGCTGGCTCCCCATTGCGGGTTACGTGGTGCTTACTAGGTGGGCAGAAAGCGAAAGGAGCAAACAACAAAGAACCACTCAAATGAGTAGTAGTCAATCAGGGGCTGCAAACCATATCTGAAAACATAACCCAACGATGACAACAACATGATTAACCTGTTCACAGAGAAATCAAACCCTGAGAAGCCCGGGAGTGGTTCCCAAGCTTGAGTGCATACCCCAAATACCCCCAACCGTGGGAGGTGCTGGTTAGACATCCAGTCCCAGGACCGCCCCCGCCCCCACCACCTGCCCAGAGAGCCAGAGGAGAAGGTGTGAGCTGGCCCAGCAAGCGGGTCCTTATAGCACCTGGGACTCTGCTCCAGATGGAGTCCAAAGGACAGGAAGGGAGAAACATCCTAGAGGTGAGGGTAGAGGAGGTGGGGGTGAGGCCCTCTGTAAAGGAGGCCAATTTCGAATGTGCAGGGAGAAAGGCTCTGGAGGCTGGAAAAGACAAAGAGGTGGGGATTCTAGGTGGTTGTTGTGAAATGCGCATATCTGGGCTTCTTATCCCTCCGACTATAAAGTCACCAAAATGAGGAAGAAATTTTCCAGGTGCAGCTATCACACAGAATTTATTCTGATCTCTCTCTCTCTCTCCTTTATTCCATGCTTACAGTTATGGCAAAGGAAAGGTGAGCCATTGCCCTGAGTGTCCCTGTGTTCTGTGACTTCCTCCTTGGGTCCAAACCCTTTTGGGGTCTTTTTGTACACACCCCATGCACTCAACACCACCTCAGGCCCTGGTTTTCCTTTTGCACCCTAGCACTCTGGCATGCACACACACACACACACACGCACACACACACACACACACATGCATGCACGTGTACACTGTTATTCTGGCTATGTGTGTCTGCTTTGTGGGTTCCTTTATTGCCTCTTTTTTGTTTGTTTAAGAGATTTTACATGAAAAGCTGTGAGGAGACTGGCTTGAAGCCATGCTCCATCATTTGGAAAAATCTTGATCAGTTCCTCTGTTGCGAAAGAAAGAACAAAGATCTTGCTTTGCTCGGGATTTCGTTGCAAGCTTCGAAGAGCGTGCCATGATCGAAACGTTCTTGGCTTGACTTTAGTTTACAGGATGAAAATTTGGTTTTTGAGGAGTTCGCCCGCCAAAATCTGAAAGACTCCGGGGATGCTGAGGAAGGGAAGAAAGACCGGGAGGCGGCAGATGAGTGAAGAGGTCGCCCTGGGCGCTGGGAAACAGGGTAGTTCGCGGCGGCGGCGGGCTGAGCTCCACGGCTAGCCCTTTAGTTATGCTAAATACCGAAGCGAGGGTCTACTTCGCAAAAATAAAGTTTGTTCTGCTCTGATTTAGGCTGGCTTGTTTTCTTTTTTAAACTTTTTTTAAAAATGTTTTTTATTTATTTCTGAGAGAGAGAGAGGGAGAGAGAGACAGCGTGAGCAGGGGAGGATCAGAGAGAGCCAGAGACACAGAATCTGAAACAGGCTCCAGGCTCCGAGCTGGTTGCGGGGGCCCCGAGTGACGTCAGAGTCCCCATGTCTCAGGTGGGGGCGGGTGGGATCTAGAAAGGAAGCCGGAAGGCGTCCCAGCTCTGGTGCGCTCATCTGGTGGAACCTGGTGTGTCCAGGGCTTTCTCCGGGGGTCCTGGGGTGAAGTGTTTCCCTGGAAACATACAGGCGGGGGGTGGGGGACAGTGTTTCTAATGACTTGATCAATCCTAGCTCCACGCCCCCCCCCCCCCCAAGAGCCTCCTGAGAGAAACAGAGCAGAAACAGAGCAGGCGACAAATGGGACCAAAACACTCTTCATCACTCACTTAGCTCTTGGTCCACGTCCCTGTGTGAGCTCCAGGTTGTTGGTTAAGGCTCTCTTGAAAGCAGGCAATGGAGATTTGGCTGGTTTAAGGGAAAATGGGGAGTGTCCTGGAAGGACCACGGAGGGGCCCAGAGCACGGACTTAGGGGAAGAATCTGAGCGGCCTCGCCTGTGGTGGGCAGGAGTCAGAAGCTCCAGGGCTGCCCTCGGAGCAGCCGCTCCCCGGTAGTGGCCCGGCAGCAGGTGCCCTCGGCCTCGGGGGCTCTGGTTCCGGTGGTAGGTCCTGGGCGGGAGAATCTGGCTGGCCCAGCTTTGGTCAGGAAGGTCGTTGCCCGGTGGCCAGTGATGGCAGAACCCAGCCCTAAGTTTGTCCTGGAAGAGGAGGTTTCTCAGAGTGTCTTCACTGAGATTGGGTGGGGCAGAGGCTGCTCTGTGTCAGGGAGGGAGGGACAGGATGATGTAGGTGGTGCCTGGTGGTGTCCTTCAGAGTCCCCTTCCCAGCCCCTGGTACCCACCAGTCTGGGGGGCCGCTCCCAGAGGCCACGGAGGGGCTTTGGGGGTGTGTAGGCTCTGGTCCATGCTTCGAGGGAGTAGGAACAAAGAGGTTTGCAGAGCTCTGCACAGGTCTACCCCTCACAGAAGGTAGGAGCGTGAATGGAGGGGGCCCGTGGGGGCGGGCGTCCAGGACCACGAGCCGTGGCAGAGGGCTGGACTGCTAGCAGCCCGGGATCCGTGCACACGCAGGCTCCCACATGTGGGCCTGCTGGGCAGGACTGCAGGCCGGCTTGTGTCCTGGGGACTGGGATTTAGGCTGGAGGCTCCCGCACACACAAAGGGGCGTTTGGACCTACGTGTCAGGTTTGAGCCATTCTGATGTTAACAGAGATGAGGATTCATTTCCAGAGAAGGAATAGTAATAATAGCAATAATAATAATAATAATTCGGGCAGAAGACTGGGCCTTTGGCCTGTGGGTTTGCAGGTCAGACACGATTCCTCCTTTGGGTTTTCTCGGGTTCTAGGGGAACAGCACGTTGCCACGCCAGCCTACGCCCCCTCTCTGGATGCTCAGGAAGGATCAGGGCCCCTCTGCTTCTGCCCAAGCCCGCAGGCCAGCAGCGGCTGGCTCTCGCTAGAGATCCTGGCCGAGCCCAGCACCCGGGAGCCTGCCCTGCCGTGCCTGGCGAGAGCACCAGCCTGTTGGATCCTGCATTGCTTGACCCCAGGACATCCTAAGTCAGGGTGGACGTTAATGGGCCTGACCTTTGGAACTGTGTGGGTTAGAGCCGGAGGCCAGAGCTGGAAGGCCAGTCCCTGCACGTCCCCAAATGCCCAACTCCGGGACTTCCAGGTGCTGGTTAGAATATAGCCTGCAGGTGGCCACCCTGGGGAGGGCGAGGAGGGGAGCAGGAAGGGAGCAGCCAGCTGATCGGAATGGGATGGGAACCCTGCCTGGGCTGCGCCTGCTCGCGAGGGTCTGCTGGCATGTCGGGAGGGAGGATGTGCCTGCTGTGTGGCCCCGGGGTTTTTTTTCCAGGTAGGTGCGTTGGAAGAAACAGGTTACTGGGGAGCTGAGGGTGCCATATGGAGAAAGTGGGGGCTGGGAACTTGGGGCCAAGTTCTGCAACCGGCAGGCAAAAGCCTGGAGTAGAATCCCTGCTACTTATGGGCGCCTGCCTTGTGCTGGGCGCTGGACACCTTGCATCTCACCATTGCAGCCGTGCTTGTACGGGGGTCGTGCCACACCCATTCATGAGACAAGGAAACTGCAGTTGAGAGAGGTCAGAGTCAAGACTTGAACTCTGGTGTCCCTGAGTCTATAACCTGACCTTTGCTGAGTAAGTACATGACACTTTGGAGACCCAGAGGGGGAGGTTAGCGCTTATGGTTCAGCACTGGCTGCCTGTGAATTATTATTATTTTTTTAATTGAAATGTTATGGAGAGAATTGTAGAGTCACATGCAATTGTAAGAAACAATACAGAGAGATCCTGTATTTACCCCAAGGGTAACATTGTGTGAAACTATGGTGTGCTGTCATAGCCAGGATATCGACACCGGTACAGCCCACCATCTGCTTCAGATTTCCCCAGCGTTACCTGTCCCCTTGAGTGTACTTAGCGCGCTATGATTTTATCAAGCATGTAGCTAGTTAACTTCCTTTTAGAGAACCTGTTTTCCTATCCCGGTAACTTTTCCCATTGCTCCCTTCCTAGTCCAAGGTCACAGCCTGTACTGGTTACCTCACTAACCCTTGGGGCGCTGGGGTAGGTGGGGGCCCCAGCTGGCCTGTTTGGAAATGTACAGAGGTGGTTTTTGGTTGTCACAATGCTTGGAGGCCAGGGAAGTTATACATCACACAGAGCGAAGAGATGTCCCGCTCCAGATGTCAATCATAACCCTAGTTCATTGTAAAATAAGATGATTCTCACGTTTGAGGTGCTTGGGTTGTTTAGTCGGTAGAACATCTGAGTCTTGATTTTGGCTCAGGTTGTGATCCCAGGGTCATGGGATCAAGCCCCAAGTTGGGCTCCACACTCAGCACGGAGCCTGCTTAAGATTCTCTCTTTCTCTCTCCCTCCCTCCCTCCGCCCCTCTCCCCTGCTCACACTCTCTCCCTCTAAAAAAAAAAAAAAAAGTTAATACCATGTTTTGAAGTGCATCATTTATTCTAACGTGAAGCGGGGTTTTTTTGACAGGAGGTGCGTGTGTTTTTACGTTGACAGGTCGAGACGGATTAGGCTGGATGTGAAGTGTGTTATTGCTGCCACCTTGATATGCCCTTAAGGTGGGGTAAACTCAGGGAGCCGCACATTGTTAGTGATGATTCACAGAGTGACTCACTCCCTAAAGAGGCACTGGAGGGGATGTGCTCTTACAGGCTCAGCACTTGGGCCGGGGGAGGGGGGGGTTCTCTCCGAGGCAACTGTGCTCTGCAGTCACCCAAGAACAGAAAATCTTCTTCACTCATCAGAGAAAAATACGCCAGAGTTGTTCTCTGATTTAGGAACATAATACGATTCTTAACAAGCCTAATGCCCTTTTAAAAAGATACACCTTTTATTTTCAAGTCCTGTAGTTTTAGATTTACAGGAGAGTTGCATAGATAGGACAGTGAATTCCCCTACACCCATCTCCCTTATTACGAACATCTTTCACTAGGATGGCACATTGAGCACACTTCATGCACCCGTAGTGACATGTTATTATTATACTCAAGCCCATTCTTTATTCAGATTTCCATAGCTTTTGCCTAACGTCCATTTCATGTTCCAGGATCCCACATGATGTTACGTCTCTCCTTAGGCTCCTCTTAGCCGGGACAATTTGTAGTATTTTATCATGATTGTAGATGTACTCCCATCCAGCCTCAGCTGCTACCTCCCAACTCACGGTCATGTCTGTGGCTTTCTGCCCCTTAAAATGATGGGTTCTGGAGCCCAGACGTCCCCTGAGCTTCTCTCGTGTGTAGGTAGCAGCTCACCCAGGCACCTCAAGCTCCATTTGTTTAAAACCAAGTTCATCTTCATCTCCACTAGGTCCACTTGTGGTCACTGGGGACGGCAACCCCCTTGAAAGCTGTGTCCCCAGGAAGCATCCCCATCCGTCCTGCTCCCTAATCTCCCGTCTAGAGCAGCTGGTCCCTTTTCTTCCCATCTCTGCTGTGTCTTCCGTGTGTCACCTCCTCTCTCCACTGCTGTGACCATGGCCTTGGTTCTGCCCCAAATCAACATTGCCTGGACTGGCGAATCGTTTTTTAATGCACTTTCTGTTTCTAGTCTTTTCTCCCCTGGATCATTTTCTGTCCAGATATATTGTAAACACCCTTCAGCGGCTCTGGTGCTCGAGGGACGTAGTCCTTGCTCTTGGCCAGTACAGCTCTGGGGCCAGCCACAGCCACACACCCTCCTGGCCGCCGCCTCTACTCGCCAACAGCTACCTGTGTCATTCTTTCAGCTTGCCCGGGAGTCTCCTGCCTTGTTGTGTTTTCCTGGAAAATTCCTTCCACCCCCTTACCTTTCTACTCAAATTTTAAAACCCTGCTGGGGTCACCCCTCCTCCGGAGAGCCTCACCACACCCTTGACAGCATTAATGTTAGCTCCTCTAGGTTCTGCACTTATGTGCCACATCATTTGCAATTAAGTGATACAAAATGACCAACTTCCATAAGGATGTGGATCACCCTCTCCTTTGTGCCCGTTTGGTCTTAGTCGGCTTAGGCTGTTATAACAAACTGCTGGGGGATTTCAATAGACATTTTTCTCACAGATCTGGAGGCCAGAAGTCTGAGATCAAGTTTGGCAGAGCCAGTTTCTTCTAGGCCTCTTTCCTTGGCTTGTCGATGGCCTTTCTTTGTGTCTTCACATGGTCTTCCCTCTGAGCCTGTCTGTGTCCAAATTTCTTCTTCTTAGAAGGATACCAGTCATACTTGGGTTAAGGCCCATCCTAATGGCTTCATTTTAACTTATTTCTTTAAAGGTTCTATCTCTAAACACAGTCACATTCTGATGCACTGAGGGTTAGGACGTCAACCTATGAATGTTGGGGGTGGGGGTTACAGGGGGATGCAGTTCAGCCCAGAACAGGCCCTTCTCCCCTCTTGCTTTCTACGAGCTTCTTCGGGCCCAGCTTTGTGCGAGAGCTAGCCGGGAAGCATCAAGGCCTTGGGAGTCACATGGTCCAGGTCTAGACCTGGTCTCTTTTCCATGCCTTCGGGAGAAGAATCTGAACCTCAGGCCACTGTCTTCGTCTCCAGAGCAAGCCCAGTGAGCTTGCTCTGTGGGGCTGGTGTGAAGACTAGAATCACTGGTCAAGTATCTGCTGTGCACCTGGTGATCAGCGCACGAGAGCCGCCACTATCTGTGTGCACATCAGAACTCACGGCGAGGATGAAAATGTTGTATATCTGCGCCGTCTTGTGTGGTAGTTGCTAAGCCACACACGGTTATTGTGCACTTGAAATGTGGCTAGTGTGACTGAGGAACCGAAAATTTAATTATAATTAATTGCAACTGAAATTGAAGTTGTCCTGTGTGGCCAGTGGCTATGGCACCGAGCAGTGCAGCCAGGGGCTCTGGGCCTGTCCCTGAGTGTCCCTGCATTAGGCCCGGACATGCTCTGTCCTGCCTCTGAGTCCACTGCCCTGGCCACATCTCTCCCCATGCTAGACGCTATTCTGTGTCCTCTGGGGGGGGAGGGGGGGTGTCACTTGTTTTGCCTCTGAAAAGTATCAGCTGGAGGAGTAGGGTCCAGAGCATGCTGACTAGCAGGCAGGCCAGGGAACACTGAGTCTAGCAGCAGCCGTCTGAAAGAGCAAGGGGACAGTCACGTGGCCCCCGAAGGATTTGCCCCTCTTAGGTGGCACCAAGCCCTTTTCCACCTGAATGTCTCAATGGGCAGCAAACACAAACAAGTGCATTCTCCTGCCCCCCCCCCCCCCGTGAAGGCGTCCACCTACCTGTCCGGCCGTCCTGGTTAGCCCTCTTCACTGTCACCTGCGCCTCCTGCCTCCACCTCCTCCCTAGTCTACTTTATCTCTGCAGCCCCTCCCAATGACCCAGGCAGCCACCTGCCCTGATTACTTCAAAGCCTGGATCACTGCTCCTGCTTTGTGACCCAGCCCTGCCCAGGGTTAAAATCCCTTAAAGGCTTCCTGTTGTCCTCAGGACTAACCTCTTTATCGGGTTTACAAAGCCGTATCTGACCTGCCCACCCCCAGGCTCATCTCTTTGTGTCATTTTCCTCCCTTTAGGCTACAACTTCCTTTTTTACTGGACACTTGTTTTCTTGCCTCCAGGACTTGGCACAATCTGGTCCCTCCTCCTAGAACTCAATTCCCCCCTGTCAGGGAGAACTCCTGCTAGCCTCTTCCTTCTCTTGGGCATCTTTTCTCCAGGAACCCTTCTCGGTTGGAATGGTGTGTCCCCTCTTCTGGCATCCCAGAAGTCCGTTCAAGTACTGTCTTCTTTCTTTCTTGCATTCGTGCATGTATCCCTCTACTCCCAATTGTTTATGGTGCAACTAAATGCCAGAAGCTGCTTCTGACGCTGGCGACACATGCAGGGCAAGACAGTCTCGCGCCTCCTGGAGATCACTTACATTCTTGAACGCGAAGACTGAAGATTTAAAAAAAGTGACCATAGGAACGGGATGACGCAAATTCTGCCCTCGACAAAAAATAAACAGCTGCTAAGACCAGGGGCCAGGGGACCCCACGCGTGGAGGCCGAGGGGCCGGAGCGCCACTCCATCTGCGGCTGCGTGCGCGACCGGCAGGGGGCGCGGCGGGGGCGGGGCGACGACTGCCCGGTCCCGGTCCCGCCCCCGCCCGAACAGGCCCCGCCCTCAAGACCCCGCCCCCGGCCCCGCCCCCGCCCGCTGTGCGCGCGCTGGCCCGGCAGCATGGCGGCGGCGGCGGGCGCCCCTCCGCCGGGTCCGCCGCAACCTCCTCCGCCGCCGCCGCCCGAGGAGTCGTCCGACAGCGAGCCCGAGGCGGAGCCCGGCTCTCCTCAGAAACTCATCCGCAAGGTGTCCACGTCGGGCCAGATCCGCCAGAAGGTGAGCCCGCGGCGGCGGCCCGGGCGCGCGCCCCTCACGCCGCGGCAGCCCCGTGAGGCCCGCGGCCGGGCCCGAGAGCCGCCCAGGCCCGGCCCAGCCCGGCCCGGGGTCCCCGCCGGGCGCCGCTGTCCGGGCGGAGCGCGCTCCACGGGGTAACGGGCCGGGCGCCCCGCCCTGCGCCCGGGCAGAGCGCCCCGTCCCGGCGGGGCGGCGGCGGGGAGCCCGGGCCGGGGGCGCAGGTGGGCGCCGCGCGGGGCCGGGCGAGTGGGGCGGGGCGCCGGGGCCGGGGGCGCCCGCCGCGGTGGGCCGCGAGGCAGCCCCGCGCTGCGAGGACCGGGAGGAAACTGAGGCCTAGAGGCGGGGGGGTGGGGGGGCGAGCGCACCAGAAATGGGGGCTCCTGGCTGCGCCCCGCAAGCGTACGCTCCCCGAGCCCCACGTTTCTGAGGACTGGCCCGGTCATTTCCCGCTGGGTGCTCTGTGGACTCACCTGTGGTTCCCCGGGAAATTCAGCAGGACCCGGGTGTAGGGCTCTTCCTTGACTCGCTAGTGTTTTCGTACCCTAAAGAGAAGGGATGCGCGCTCTGTGACCAGCTCGCCCTCCCTCGGGAAAGCCGGGAGAGGGGGCTCTCGCCGGCGGCGCACCGGCTGGGCACCTAACTCTCGGTGGAGAACTCCAGACGCTAAATGTTCGCTGCAGAAAGACGCATTTCCTTTCTGCGGGAGGAAAGTTGCGCCCTTTGTTTTCCTTTTGCGGTTCCCGTTGAAAACTGCTTATGGTTTTTGCTACAGGTGAGCCCTCTCTGTTCGAACGCGGCTGCCGCAGACAGGTGGCTGGACAGGTGGCTGCGGGCATGCTGGGTCTGTGGGCAGCCCCGGCAGATCCAGTTGGCACAGACTCTCACCCTGCTGCAGTGCGCTTTTCCTCCCGGGCCAGTTAGGTTCAGCTGCTGCTTTCACCGTGGGAGCCATTTCTTGCTTTTACCTTTTGCCCGCCTTTGATACTTGTGGGGTCGTCTTTGGTCTGCACGTGTTACAGACAGGTTTGTTGTGAAGTGTTCCAGTTATTCGGCAAATAGGCAGGCACTGAACATCGCCTTTGTTCCAGGTATAGCGGTAATAGCAATTGATTGTAAGGTGGCAGTTCTTCAGTGCTTACCAGGCTGTGTGCCAGGCATTTTTCTTGGGTTAACTTTACAGCACTTTATGTGGGTTAACTCGTTTAGTACCTGCGAGAACTCTTTGAGTTGGGTGTTACCTGTCATCCCCACCTGATGAAATTGGCCCAGGGTGTCACAGGTAATAAATGTGGATCTGGATCTGAACCACGGTCAGGATCCTGAGATGGGGGCGTCTGGGTGGCTCAGTTGGTTAAGCGTCCGGCTTCAGCTCAGGTCATGATCTCATGGTTCATGGGTTCGAGCCCCGCGTCGGGCTCTATGCTGACTACCAGCTCAGAGCCTGGGGCCTGTCTTCGGATTCTGTGTCTCCCTCTTTCTCTGACCCTCGTCTGCTCATATTGTCTCTATTTCTCTCTCAAAAATAAGTAAAACATTAAAAAAAAAAAAAAAAGGATCCCGAGATGGACAGTAGGAGTCTGGATCCTGCTCTGTAGAAGATGGACACCTGTGCACGTCACAGTAGGGCATAGTAAGTCCTGTGGAAGCTCAGGCGACAGAGATGCCGCTACCCTGATCTTGAGGGGAAAAGTTTGCCAGGCTAATTGGGGAAGGAAGTGCTTTCCACATAGTTGACAGATACTGACACTCGTATGTGAAGGAGTAAGCACACCTGGGAATGGTCAGAAGGTGAGTGGGTCAGGTTGAGAGGAATTAGGAGGAGGCTGGAAAGGTAGATTGGCCTGATTTTAAAGGGCCAGCCCTGGAGTTGGGTTTTTGGCCTTGGGCAAGAGGGAGCCACTGAGGGTTATTCAGAGCATGGGAGTGACCAGTCAGATGTGCTTTTAGGAAGATCTCCAAGTAGCCCTAAATGATACTGATAAGAGTCGCTCTCCCCTGTTGTTTGGTCCTGGAGCTTGGTATGTGCACAGTGTGGGGTGGATCATATGATTTACAAGTGTGATTAAGATTAGCTCTCTCAGAGATGCCAGTGTATGTCCAGAACTCTCTTCTTCTTTTTTTTTTTTTAATGTTTTTTTTTTTTAAATTTATTTCTAGGAGAGAGAGAGAGACAGTGTGAGCAGGGGAGGGTCACAGAGAGAGGGAGTCAGAGACTCTGAAACAGGCTCCAGGCTCTGAGCTGGCAGTCAGCACAGAGCCCGACGCGGGGCTCGAACCCGCGAACCGCGAGATCATGACCTAAGCGAAAGTCGGACGCTTAACCGACTAAGCCACCCAGGCGCCCCCAGAACTCTCTTCTTTAGGAGGCATCCCCTCCCGTCCCCGTCCCCAACACGGTAGCTGCTGGACCTACCAGCTGTTGGGGTTGAGGAGTGATGGGTAGAGTGTTAAAAATACACCCTGAAGACTTGAGTTGCTGAATACAGTCACAGCTGCTGTACAAATAGCTTCAGGCTAATTTTTCTTTCGGGTTGTTAGAGATGGGCTGAATGTGGGAAGTGTGAGGTTTTCTGTGTGCAGTAGCTGCCCCCCCCTCCCCTGGTTTTTAAAGCAGATAGGCCATTCAGAAAATTGCACTGGTATATGTGGTGCATAAGAGAGAGATCCACAACGGTATGGGGTGTCATTCTGCATCTAAACGGGAAAGCTGAAACCGCTTCATTTAAAACAGAAGGAATTTAATGGGGGGGGGGGGTTCTCCCGGGCAGTGAGGGACTGGAGATACAAACACTGGGCAGTGAAGCAACCCGGAGATGAGGCAACAAACAGGAAACCATTGTCACCCCTGAACTGGGGGACAGAGGGAGGACGTGGCATTTCAGATCCCAGGCACAGCTCCCACCTGCCAGAGGCTGGGTCATCTGGCCTGGCCCTGGAGCTTCTGGAACTTTCGGAGGGCGCTGTCTCACCACATCCCCCTCTTGCTTGGGAAACCCAGCCTGTTCGGCATCAGCCCCTCTGCAATTCGGTGTGGAGCAGAAGGTCAAAGAATGGAACAGAGGACGAACTGGCCTAGGACCAGACCTGTGTGTATGTCAAGTTTCTGAAATACCAGTCCAGTGCTTCTCAGGCTTTCCTGTGCAGACACATCCTCTGGGGGTCTCAGTAAAGTGCAGACACTGGTTGAGGAGGTCTAGGGTGGGGCCTAAGGGTCTACGTTTCTAGTCAGCTCTCAGGAGAGGCTGCTGCTGCTGGTCCACGGGCCCGACTTCGAGAAACAAGACCTTGTGACCGATGCGTCGAGGTAAGCCTTACCAAACGCCAAGTAAGTCTTTGGTCCATGAGGTTTTTCTGAAACTGCCCCTCCTCCCCCAAGTCTTTAGCGTACGGAAAACTTGATTCGTGGAGATTTGAGACGGTCACTTATATAGCATTTCATGCGTGCCTCATATTTTCAAAAGTTCCAACTGCTTCTAGCAAACACATCACTTCATTTGTATTTCCTAGCTAGTGCACGGTAATGACTTCGTAGGACCACCTAGTTAAGAGTGGGAACAAGAAAATGGAAGAAATCACACTGGTAAATTAATTCACCAGCACATTATAGTGTATTTTGAAATCTGAGTAAAGAACAGCGTGGTTCTGTGAAGCGTCTCAGCTAAGACAGTTTAATCTGTTTCCAAGTTTTATCGTTTTTGGCTTTGCGCATGAAAGCGCTTATATTCCTGATTTCAGATTTCAACAAAGCGTTTTTCCCATTGTGAACTGAAAACTAGTAGAAATCAGGCAAAATGTTTAACTCGTAAAAGACTTAAAAAAATAGCTTTATAAAGATACGATTCACATACCGTACAGTTCACTCACTTCAACTGTATACAGTTCAGTGGTTTTTAGTATATGCACGTTGTGTAACCATTACCGCAGTCAATTTTAGAACGTTTCTGTCACCCCCAAAAGAAACCCCATAACCATTAGCATCCGTTCCTATTCCTTCTCAACTCTGTCAGCCTTAGACAGCTGTGAATCTGCTTTCTGTCGTAAGGATATGCCGATTCTGGACATTTCACATACATAGAATCGTGCAGTATGTGCCTTTTGTGGCTGGCTTCTTTCACTCGGCGTAAGTGTTCAGAGTTCGTCCACGTTGGAGCGTGTGCATTTGGATTGTTTCCACTTTTTGGCTAATCTGGATGAGGCTGCTGTGAACATTTATGCACATGCTTCTGTGTGGACATATGTGTCATTTCTCTTGCGTATCTACCATTTGCTGGGTCACAAGGTAACTCTGTGGTTCACCTTTGAGAAATTGCCCGACTGTTTTCCAAAGCGTCTGCACCGTTTTTACATGCCCATCAGCAGTGTGTGAGGGTTCCAGTTTCTCCAGGTCCTCAGTTATATCTTTGACTATAGCCATCCTAGCAGGTATGTGGTGGCATGAAAGGTTTTTAAGCTCACGTGTGCACTTAAGAGCCTAAACTTTGGTGTCGAATGAAGCTGATTCACACCCTGCTCTCCCACTTATGAGACACGTGATCACAGGTTTCCAAACCTCCTCTTTTAAGACTTGGTTTCTGGAACTGAAAGAGGGAAAATACCAGTTCCTGGGGTGGCAGTAGTGACAGTAAATGTTAGATGTGTGTTCTTGAGCCTCAGTTTCCATATCTGTGAAATTGCAAAACAGAAAGGATAACAATAGTTCTCAGAACCCTAAAATAGAAATGCTGACGATAAGTCACAAAAGTAAATGGGACAGTCTGCGTACACTTAGCTAGCATAGTGCCTGGTATATCGTCAGCATTCAGTAAATGGTTTCTTTTATGATTATTTCTGTCTCTTTGCTCATTCTCCCTGAACCCCTCCTCCCCCAGCTCAAGCTGGGTGATTCTTCATCTCTAGCTGCCAGGAGAGCAAATAAAAGTGAATCTGGCAGACAATTAGCAATGCAAATCTTTTTTAGAAAATTAATTTATCGAATACTAGTG